TTCTGTTGGAGTCAGTAAACTAATTTTCTTTGAGCGAATTTGATGCTATGTAATTTTTTGTACTTTAAATGATATTTGATAATATATTGAAAATGTATGGTTTATTAACTGCTTTTCGTTTAATTTAATATTGTAGTGTAATGTACTGTTAAGTGCATATTCTTGGTCATACGTCTACTTCCTTTCCATTGTTCCAATTGCGCTCGTTTATACACGACACTGGACTAATTGCGAGGCTCCTCAATTAGTTGTCAACTGATGGATGGAACAGGCTCACGTTCACGGCACCAGTCCATGACATTCACTGTAATGAGCTAACGATCTATTATAGCTTATGTATGTCTGCTTGTCAGAACAATATTGAACTTAACTCATAAACTGCCCACGATACTTGTAAGGGAATATTTTAATGATTGAAGCAGTATGAAATGTATTAAAAGATTTTGTAACATTTTTGTATCGGATGTACCGAAACGTATTCCAATCTTTTATTTTATTTTCTCATGTACTGACACGACCGACTGACTGTACTGGTTTTGTTTGAGGAAAATAAATTGAGAGAACCCGGAGGAGTATACGTGATATACAATTCAAATTATATAATTTTGTTATGACGAATTTTGGCATTTCTTATTTACTATAAAAATATTTTTTTATTCATTTATATAATACCTACAAATAATTATATAACAACTATATATAATGTATTATAAATATAATACAAAACATTTATTTTAATTGATAATTTAATCTAGTAAATTATTGAACATCGTCATTGTTAACTTGAGACAATTTTACAGTAGGTATCTCAAGTCTACTTCGATTTTTCTAAAAATAGCCATGACGTTAAAGTACGGCGACCTATCCACTATTGTTTAACGGTTGACTACAGAAATGACGTTTGGTGAAAGTTAGACTGAACACTGATTATATATTATTATTATTATTGTGTCTATAGATATCATGTCATTTCCAAGCCTAAGGCATTTTTATGAAGCGGGCACAATAAATCATTTTAATATGAGGCACTCGAAATTAATATCTTTCGATGAGATAATTATTTATCTGTTTAATTAAACATATTTCGGTAAATATATTTTTTTGGACAGCGAGATACTTAATATTAACGAATATTTTTTTTATGAAGACATTCACGTTTTCGTAAATAAATTTTTTATCTCGGGTAAAATAAGCTAAAATTAAGCTAAACCATTTTCCGGCTTTTCAATCGTAAACCTTCGTATATGATAGTAACAGCGTAGGAATAAAAAACGGGAAACTACCTGTGTGTAGTCTGACTATGTAAAGTGGTAAAGGTACAGAACCATTAGAAAAGATAAGATCAAACGAAATTAGTTAGTCACTGGGAATGTTTATGACTCATATATACATACATATATATTTCCTCGTTGTGAACGGAATTACCTGACTGAAGAGTCAATAGTGACTTGATGAGATTAAAAAGCCGTTTTTTTTTTTTTGTTCACACATAACTGTTACAGAACGTCAGAAAAGTACGTCACAAGCCATTGACATTGTCTAAGACTACAAGTAGTTTTAATATAATAAATTTATTGTATAATATTAATCTAAAAAGCTGACATTAAAGGACTAAACAATAAATCCATTGCACCTTAAATGGTTAGTCCGTTTAAATGTGGTCCGACGGCTACATCACCCATTGTCTTTGTAAAATGTTACTTCGTAGAAGGTCTTTCTGATCATTAGGGTCAACCGGACTATTATTTTTAACTGACATATAATAAAATTTTTGTATTATCATAAATCTCATATAAAATAATTAATTTCGTCTCGTGTCAAACAAATGTCATACATAAAGCGTTTATTTTACATTAACTTGGAAGTATGCGTCTTATAATGTTTATCGAAATCCTTTTGCTCCTTTTGCATCTCATATGCACATATATAATCCTTATAGTACGTACTGCAAGTTATTTATTCACATTCTGACTCATGTTTTAACAGTTAACCTCGTATTTTTAATGTTTTCTTTGAAACGATCCTCGACAATGTTCCTTTTATGACGAATACGTTCCGTAAATAATATTTTTTTATTCAAAATATATTGAACCAATTTTTATTCATACTATTTCATGAAAAATCTCTTTTTTTATAGTGACCTACATTTAGATAGAGAGTGAAATTTTAATTAATGTACAGTTTCTTTAATCGCTTCCAACATATCATAAACGAATCTTCTGAATCTAGTCCGGGAACTAAATATAACTAAATATCATCAAAACCTGTTCAGTAAGATCCCGTTACTGTACCATACATAGAACTTTCACATTCACTTCATATTTTATTGATAATCTTTATATTTATATTGATTCATACATACATACATGTGATTATGCAATATTTCGTCAGTGGTAGCGTGCGTGCGATTGTGCGCGTAGACCGTTTCACAATAACATAAGGAGACTCGAATGGCAGACCCGAGGGTCAACGACCTCGTGTTTCTTAAATCACTAGTACACCGTGTTTCCTTACTACATTATAATGTTTTTTATTTGTATATAAAATGTTGATATTAACTTGTTAATTAATATTTTAACTTTAATGAAGACTTTAATAGCGTTATGCAATAACTTTATTACATTTTTTCTCAGTCAATAGAGTATAATTAAAATAACGACTGCCTGTGTTTTAAGATGAATGCTCACTATAATATGTATTTTTTTTCCATCGGTTCCTTTATATCGCATGTTATTGATTGAGTAATATTTTCTCATGGTCTCAATTGTATGTGACAAAATTTATCGGAAATGGTGTAATTGCCTTCATTAATACGATTGGTTTTGATATTTATTTCGTGCTTGTATCAAGTTATTACAAATATAAAGCATTCGTTATGTATGTTAATTTCAAAATAATTTTATTAGTATATTAAAAATTAATTTAATGATTTTTTTGTTTAATACTTATCAATAATAGTCTTTACCAATAAAGTCAGTCAGGGTAGCATTGAAATTTAATATCAGTTAAAGCGATTTAATCCAAATATTACTTATCCAGTTCGCACATAATATTCATACTAAGATAAAGATAAAACTATTTCATTTAAATTATTTAACTCTGTAATTAATATTTTTGTATCATCAAATCAAACTTCTTGTATTCAGTAGCAATCGTCTAATATATATAATGTCATATGAGTGTAAGTGTTATATATATGTATGTTATATGAGCGTTATGTTTGTAAATATTCCCGGGCCGATGTCAAGGACGGACCCTCTGCCCTACACTTTTGCGATTAGCTCGAGCGTGTCCACTTTACTGAGATCTCTTCACACATGCTCACTTTAACTACACTCTGAGATTTAGGGCTGGTTCATACTATAGTTACGTTTCATTTAGTTAAGTGGAAAGCGTTTTTCCGATATCACAGTCTAATATAAAATAGTCTTTTGATTTTGTTTACATTTTGCATGTAATACTCTTTTTAATTTTCGTGTATTTTTTGGTTATCATAATAATGCATTATAATATATGCAATTCTATTAATAGAAAATATGGAGCAGTCGCATTAAATAACATGTGAAACAGTCATTATTATGTCTAGTTATATATCATAGCTCAGGAGTCAGGGGTCGAAGTATATGTTGACATAACATTTCATTAACACATATAGCTAAGAATACAAATAGTTTGATACAGACATCCTCTCAGATAGAGGCTAGACGTATTAAAAGAGAAACCTGTGAAGTGAAAAGTGAATTTAGGATTCATGACAGCTATAATAGAATATTTTAAATTTAATTGGTAAAATTCTAACATGTTTTAATATTTTAAATATCGTAGTAAATTCACCATTTATCATAGTGTTTGACGTTAATAGCTTTACAGTGGAGAGTTAAATGTAAACAGAACAAGTATGTAATATGTACAATGGAACAGTAATGTTACATTTTAATACTGAAGCAGAATAGACAGAGATCTTTCCAGGGTTATTCGTTTGAATGATTTAACGCCTAAATATATAGGAAGCTAGAGTTGTAACTCATATAAAATTATTGAAATTAATGTTACATAAATATCGCATCGGATTTTATTACTCTTAGTCTTATACGTGTCGTTTATTATAACTATTATATAACACGTTCAAAATAATCGTAGAATTTTCCAGATTGTGCCAGTAGCTCGCTAAAATCAATATTTCAGTGTACTCGACACTTTGGAGGTACTTATAAAGTCTTAATTTTAGCGAAGTCGCTTCTCAAATTCAATGTTATGGAAGTTACGGATAATTAAATGTTTTAAAATATGTTTAAGATTTTCGGATAAAAAAATCTCATGCACACACGATGTTTTAGAGTAAACGTGTACGAGATGTTCTGCAAATTGATGAATATATTTATTTGCTACCTCATATAGTTATTGATTTATTACATTTTCACGCAAACTTCACGTCCATTAGAACAATGTTATTATCACAAGGTTGCATCGTCGCACTGCATACGATGCGTTTGCCGTAAACGACTATAAAATATGTAAATTGAAGACGGAAAACCTTCTAAAGTCCTGTACGTGTGACTATTCAAACGAGTGGTAAACCTACTACATATTTCGAATATAATGCAGTACGCATGTTTTATATATCACCTGACCTATCTCATGGACGGAGCACTTATTTTTATAATATTTAATAAGACAAACATATTATTTTTATTATTACCTTGCTATTATTTTTAATGTCATACATTTTTATGTGTTTCGTTTCATTCAACGTCCCCTTATATCATTATTAATGTTACTACCGTATTTATAAAATCAATGCAATACTTATCACGTAGCTGGTAGCTGTGACAGTTTTATAAATAATTAAGAAAGTTCAGTTCAACTATTACCGATAGCTTTTTAAATTTGCTTGTTTTTTATTGTTGAAATGATTTTGTTTTTGTTTTCGTATCGATTGTATGAATATGGCTAGTTGTTTGCATGGCCTCGCTAGACTGTAGTGGTTGTGTTGCATGCAGGTCTAGGAGGGCTTCCCAGCAGCTATCCAGAAGTGCCGAGAGCATCGACCAGTCCTACAAGAGGTAAGACTCATTAATCTTGATTCATTCACAATATTCTTCTAGAATGCTTTGATGATTTAATCTTCTTTATAGTTCTTAATTCATAGCCATACTGCTCTATATATGATTATATATACATTTATATTCTTAGATTATAAATATTAGTGTACGACACGTAATATCCGCTAGACGTCTTCAAGACGTATTAATGCGTTGTTTATGCCGACGGAGTTATTTGGGACATTTGTTTTTAACTCGCCAATTATCCGTACAATGAAACGTTTCTGAACTGTTTTTCCTTTCTGTTTACGTCATCTATGATCTTCGAGCTAGCCATTAGTTCATGAGCTAACATCCCGAAGACAGTTCAACATGCATCATAATTAATGTACACCGTTCAGTACAATTCCATACTAATTTTAAATTTATCGCTTCTAATGATGATGACATATTTACATAGACGAATTAGTTTTTGATATGTCGTTAAGACTATTAATAGACTGGATAAAGATAATGTTATTTAAAAATTATGTTATTTTAAGACATAGGAATTAATAAAGTTTTATTTGAAAGGGAAGAGAAGTTAGTTCAAATATCCTTTCAATGTACTGAAATGTTTTTTTTAATGTTCCAGGTCAAAGAGCCGTTCTGTAGATCATGGGTTCGCAGCCCCCTTCGACCTGGAATCTCTTCGTTCCAAGGTGGAGGGGAGGTTCGATGCTGTTAATAAAGGTAATAGACATAAACACGTTCCTTAAGCGTAAATTGAATCGTACATACAAAGTACGTGACTAAAACTGTTGTGTATGTAGTGTATACAGTCGTATAAAGCTTGAATGTTTATTTGAGCTGTCATCAGAATTATTCCAGGGCTCCCGTTTTATTATTTCGTTTCAATTCATACGTGATTTATGATAGTCGCTGACTAATGAGTTTATTTATGATATATCCAGATGCTGCACTGGACTGATGTCGTAAACAGTTATGAGGGAAATCGTATAACTGAAAATTATATGCTAAATGATCCCTCGTATGTTTCCAGAATTATGAAGCATTTGTGAAAAAATAAGGAATCTCTTTAAAGTTTTTTTATACGTTTTTATAATGTGCCGTGCTCGTAGCTTTTATGGCGGCATTTAAATATATATACTCCATACCACCCACACCGTCGGTTTGTTTGTTGATGTTGGATTTAAGATGGGAATTTATTTTTTATCGTTAATCGTCTTCAAACGTTAGTTATACGATGTTTCGACAAGTACAAATTAATTAAAAATCTTCCATAAAACAGAAGCATTATTTAGTTAAATATATATTTTCAAATGTTTTGTACGTCAGATGAATGATCAATATTCAAGTATTAGGAATCCTGTCTGAATAAAAATGCGTACGTGAAAATTCTTATATCACAGGTGAAATAATATTTGTAGCTCTACATCCGCGTGGTGTATTGATTTTTCAGTCATGGCCAATAGTAGCTGATAAAAGAGCGACCTTTCCCCAGATTTGTATTAATTGCCTCAGAATTATTGTCCTAAACGTCTTTCCATCACGTATTACGTATAAATAGTTTTCATTAAATATTTGTTGCCAAAACCAAATATATTACAAAGCTGTGATAGTCTACTTATAGTCCATAGAGTGAAGTAAAACAAGAACGTAAAAAGATTTTAATGAAGTATTTTAAATTTAAAACAACATTAATATTTTGATGCCTTTATATATCTTCTCTTCTACCTGGCAATTTCCCAGCCTTAGCCAGGGTCTGCCTTAGATATTGTGAATAGTTTTGGCTAATTATTTTTACGACTGGCCGCCTTCCTGACATCAAAGCTCTTTGGGAATGCATTAATCAGTGATGTCTAAATACTCTTAGAAAGTACATATGACTCTGAAAAATCACATTGGTACTTGCCAGGATCGAACCTGCGCCCTCATACATGAGATGCGGTCCTTTTAACCACTAGGCCGCCTTTATATATATATTTATATTTTCCTCTACTTAGCTTAATAATCTCGTTCATAACAAACGCACTATATTCTATAACTGTAATATGTTCTTTATATATTTTAATGCATCGTAAATAATACTTCCTTCTTTTGAAACATACATGTTATATTGTGTGTTTGTTTATTCCATTGTTATTATAATATTTATAAATGTATTAATTGTTTCAGATGAAGATGAAAACAAGAGGCTGCCTCCGCCGCCGCCTATCAAAACAATGACTTATACGGTAAGAAAAAATTTATAACCTACTCAAATATATTTATTTAAGATATGGTTTGATTTTTGTGAAACTATAGATGAGATGTTCTGAATTTGTGATACTATCTCACACTCTAAGTCAATTTCGTTAATTTATCTCAGAGATCTTAGAATTTTGCGAGTATTCCTTGAAATGAAACCAATATTTTTCGTATTTACTAATCGTTTAAAATTATTTTTAACTACATACTCCCAACGTTTCGGTTATTTAGCAGCAACTGTGGTTACGCTATAAAATATGTAATGTTATTTTAGTATCTAATAAGATGTAGATAGCGTATATTGTTAATATTCATTTAGTGAAAAGGTAGTAATTTCAAATTATATAAATACTACCATTTTATTTATTAATATATATCTTATTTTCGCATAAAAGTGCTCTATAAGCTTTTTCTTGGTCATAAATATGCAATACACACAAAAAGTTTTATATAAATACTCAATTGTATACCAAGAACTAGCTCACATTTAATACGCCAGTTATATCGTGAAAAATATTTGAATTTTTTTTTATTTTCATGTGATGAAAGTGGATTTATTCGCCTATTTTATTCGGAATAAATGCTGTATTTTTAACACAAAAAATATAATACGATAATACAAACAATATTTTAGTTTTTTATATTACTGCATACAAACATAAGAAAATCTATATTTCTATAGAATTTTATACATAATTATTACAAAATAAAATATGCATCGGTTATAAGAAACTATTTCGAATATAAAATCTAGTTATTATGTTATATTATAAATTTCTCAGACATTTCATGTCGATAATTATTAAATGTAAAGTATTAGTATTTGTTCTGTTCAGCATGGAATAATATAACTAACATTGCAATGTATTTTCTTAAATGTCGACAAATGACGAATATTTCACGAAAATATTCAATTAGACCATTTAATCCATTATACATTAACTGAAATTGAATTTTAAATGTCACTATGAATCGAATCCGAATCATTGACTAGAGTTCCTTAATTACTTTCACATCTATTTTTTTTTACAAACCTAACGCCACTATAATAATAGTTGAACTAAATTTAGCTTTCTCTAATTTATACTTTGTATTATTTTTTAACGATACATTTTTTATGAAAGGAATTTCCCTGGAAACAAAATGTTATATAATATACTTTCTAGTATTTAAGGGTCATTTAAATTATGTTCAACAGAAAAGTCTGTGATAGTAATCATATGAAATGATAGTTACCTAAACCAGTTTCTGTAGATATTCAATCAAGGTACCTACACCCATATTTCCAAATAGATTTCTTGTTAATAGTATCAGAAAAATAAATAGAATTTAGAATATCATGTAATACGTAATATATTCGCCATCCCAAGTCATTAATGTAATTATACCTAAGACTATATGACTTAACAGTTTCTGATACATATGACTTCACATAATTCTCTTATACAGTATGTTATTTTTTTGAATGATACATGGTGTTCTCATATGATATGTACCCCACAGGTGAGAGATCGCGATACATTGACGTCTCTGGCTGCCCGCTTCGACACCACACCCTCGGAACTGACGAAGCTGAACCGTCTCGCCACGCAGTTCATCTTCCCTGGACAGAGGCTGCTTGTACCTGATAAGAGAAAAGGTCAGATATATAGCTACCTCTCTTTCATAATGGAAGCGTATTCAGTTTTGTAAGATGACATATTTTAACTTATTTATCAAGAAGAAAAGTTTAAGGAATATAAGTCACTGTAGAGGAAAATATTATTTATCATGAAAACATATATTTACTTAATTCATATATGCATTTATTTCTTGAAATACATTAAGACTCTAAAAAGTTTTTGTATGAAATCCGATATATGCCATTTTGCTTTTTTTAAACTGATATCTGAAAATGCTTTTATTAATGAACTTATCAAAAACAAATCTAACATCGGCATCGTTTATTAATAAATTCGAAAAAACATAAATGTGATTACAACGATAAGAATGATAGATTATTCGAGAATATTTGAACGCCTGACGGAAATGATTCGTTTGACGTCAAAAATATAAATGAATATGGAAAAAATATCAGGATACATCGTTTGACCTACATTCTATATATAAATAAACTTAGTAGAATAACTGACCAATATATATATCGGTAAAAAGTTAGATAATACGTAATATTGTATGTTCCATATATAATTTTTTGCTTTTAAATTCTATTGATTGGTACATGTATTTTCTTCATAAATACAGATAATAATAGTATTAATTTAAATCTATAACCTTAAGTATACATAATACAACCGTTCATACGAAGTGGACGCCCTTTATATTGTCAATTTCCTAATTTGCCTGAATCCCCGTCCGTCGTGTTCGATTGGTCATTTCACAATCAATAGATCGGAGTGTAACGAATCGTCTAGAAAACGTTTACAACAGTGAGTGACCTTCGATCTCGATGCTTCACTAAACACTTGCATTAACTCCACGACATTACATTTAGTATTTACTTTCATTATATTATATTATTACTAGCTTTTCGCCCGTGTGGAGTTCGGTTATATCGCGTTTCCAAGACCTTTCAAAAGTCTGGGATAAAAACTATCCTATGTTCTTTCTCAAGGTCAACTCTATCTCTGTACCAAATTTCATTAAAATCAGTTTAATGGTTTAGGCGTGAAAGCGTGACAGACAGACAGAGTTACTTTTGCATCTATAATATTAGTAGGGATAAAATTTAAATATGTTTCTATTTAAATTCATATCGATATAAAAAATATAACGTATAGTCTACGACATATATTGTAATTGTGATTCATATTATGTACTTACATTTTACTCAAATTAATTACTGAGCAACAATTGAAAACATAAAATGTATGTTATTTATTATGCAAATAGTGAAAAAAAATCAGTATAAAATAAAATTTATTTTCTCCAATTCAACAGAATTCGTTGTCTTATCATCGTATCAGATGCCAAGATTCATATTGACCTACATTCAAATTTACATTAATTGTGAAGTCTTTTAAAACAGAGTCGTTCCAAATTAAACAACACTATGTAGGATCTATTAATTACATCACAGAGGTTATTGAACTCAGACTATTAATAGATCGAGTAACCATGACTTTGATATATAAATCGAAGTAAAGTAATGACGATTACGATTTAAATAATTATAATCCTACAAATCTAAAGTTATAACTACGTAATCTTAATTAAAATTCATGGAGTTATGCAAACTTTTTGGTAATAAAAATGTTTTTTTTTAAATTCAAATTAAAGTTTTTCTGCAATAGTGTACTGTATCCGTTGTGTTATCGCTGTAACAAGACAAGAATGTATTGTGAAACGTTAGCCCACTACAATATAGTTCATTGTACGGCCTTAGAAATTGTTCACAAATTATTTAACCTTAAAAAGGGTGGACAGTAAGACTAAAAATTAACCTCAAATATAACTGGCGTAGAGTAAAACGCATTCAGCCTTGATGTAATTTGCGTGTGACGTCATCATTTTATATTTTTCTCCGTTAACACGACAATAGCGTTTAAAACCTAACAGTCGTCATTCGACGTTGGCTCTGAATGCGCGCCATCTAAGTTTATACATAAATAACTGATTGGACCTCGTCCGTTGTTAACTCGCGTGTCCGAATTGCTTTGTCGTAATTGACGCGATAAGGTCTTTCACTATCAATTGATAACTGTGCCGATATAATGCACATTGTAGTACAACAGCTGTTGAAGAATGTTCAATTTTGAATTCCTAAAACGACTGTACCACGGTTAGTTTGTTTGTTTGTGTCTGTTATGGATGTTTGTATGTTTGTTTTGATGTGGGTTCTCTCACCAGATGGCGACAAGGATGCCGATGTTCGATCTGACAGCGATAACACTTCAGAATCAACTCAAGCTGCCAGTGAACCAGCTCAGGAGAAAGGTAAATAATGTTTTTATATACATAATATTATATATATATGTTATGTAACTTGAATATAGTACATGAGTAATATATATACATATATGCGACGCTTTTAATTTTTTGTTTTGTTATCGATTTTACGATATTTATTCAGCTGTATTTCTGTCGCATTCGTTACAATTATATAGATTTTCCTTAACATGTGAACCTTTTCAGAAAGAAATATAGTTTTCATACGTATAATAAAACCATTGCCAGTGTATTCTTTATTTATAACATCGCTTTATACAAACACTAATCTATTCTTAAAAGCGGTCATTATATATAGATGTCATCATAATTTTACTTTATAAATATTACTAAGAAATATGAATTAAACATGTTTTTCATTCATCAAATAAAAATCTATATATAAATTCGTGTATCAAGATAACTGGTTATCTTGAGATAAATAGCTAAAACAAGTGAAAGCAATTAACAATTGTCAGTAATTCGTCACAGTATGAATATATTATATAATTTTTTCACATATATAACTGAGCCATTCTATGCGTAATGTTTGACACGAAACAGTACAGTTATCTGAAGCGATAGAAAAATTCATAACAAATATTTCGATGTTCATATACAGTAAAAAAAAAGTCGAATAGCAAGGGAGACGCCAATAATTCGAATTATAGATATTTGGTGTTTTAAGGCAACAAAACATTTTTTCGAGATTTGGAGGTCTTATCGAGGAATAATCGAGGTTCTACTGTATATTATTTATACATATATAATGTCTGTATGTACAGAGATCTTGGACAGTCTCCGGCCTGTGTCCCCCGAGGCGCCCGCCAGTAGCGCCCCCCAGCGGTTCCTTAAGATCAACGTGAGGCACATCACCGATGGACAGGTACGAGATACCAATACCTTCCTCATTATAATCATACAAATAATAATAATTCGATATAAATACGTTTAAATTTCCAAGCCTCGTATTCCATTCAGTACCGTGCCATATTTTCGTCTCATATCCTTCCAAAACCAGTATATCTTCCAGGTATTATTTAGATGCAGGAAATACTGACCATGTACTTATATTCTCATCTTCGTGACACAATTGTATGAAGAAGATACAAAATGCTTATTACTTCTTCTAACCCAAACTTTTTTTAATACTTCTATATAAACAGTACATACATCATGAATCTTACTTATGAAGTATACTTATATATGAATATATGTTCAGGGCGTGGTGTCCGGCGTCCTGCTTGTCACACCGAACGCGGTCATGTTCGACCCCAACGTGTCCGATACACTGGTGATGGAGCACGGCCCGGAGTCGTACGGTGTGATAGCGCCCATGGAGTACGTCGTGAACGCCGCCATCTTCTATGACATAGCACACATGAGGACCCACGGACCGGACCACAATGCGCACAGGTCAATTATAACAAATGAAATGTATGTTGAATTATATACATATATATTATAATATAAAATTATCAATATCAGAATTTAAACTATTTATTACACTCGAAATTATATATTATGTATTATATATAGATTAGGTTAATATTTAAAATCTACTTAATATCATAATTAATTAAATATTTTCACTCCAAATAAGTGAAAATGTTTGCTGTCAATATGTAATATTTTATATCTAGCGACGTTTTATTTTACATGCATGAGTAAATTTTATATCATTTTAAAGTGAGGAATATTAGCAGTAATATGAACTGATTTTAATATTATTTACTTTCTTAAATATATAATAGACATTGGTCTAATATGAACGCGACATATGCCAATCTAATTATTGGACTTATTCCTTTGTTTTATTGCCATCTCTAATGGATTAAACTGTGATATTTTCTCATTAAAAACATGTTATTAAATAAAATTATTGTTTATTCTTTAACAGGGCCGAACAAGCCGAAATATACTATATGAATAAACCGGAACATCCTCCTGAGAAAGATCTAGTCAAAGTGAGTAGAATGATATTAAGAGATAATTTACATATATTTTAGATTTTCTTCATAAAATGTTCCTAGTGTCGTTGAAGTTATAGTCTTTGACCACTCTCAAGTAGTTCTTTAATATCTTTAACATCTTTATTTTCCTTAAATATAATATATAATACTCAGTGGACAAGCTATGAATACATTTGTTCTATAACTATTACCCGATGATCAGGAGGAAACATTCCCTGAGCTGCAGGCTGTTGGGGAGTCTGCGGAGCCCCAGAAAACTACAGGGGAGGCTTCAGGGGAGGCTGTGGGGGGTGAGGAAGGGACCCCGAGACGACCTTCCGACGCAGAGGAAAGAGGAGGAGCAGCCTTCCCAAAGGCCTTCGATAGGGACCTGGTTACCCCCACCCCAATACATGTGAGAACAAAATCATATACCATACGAAAAGTTACATAATTATTAATAACTATAAAAAAAACTAGATGTTTATTATAGAGAAGCAACGATCTCGGTAATTAATTCTCTAATGGATTTCTTAATTTCCTGTGACGACTTTCCAGTTTTATTGATCTGTGACTCACTAATGCTGCTCAGTTTTTTTCTGTTATTAGTGATCGTAAAAATCATTAAATTGCGTTCTTATCGATAAATTTTAATCGTTTATTCCAGCAACAAACTACTGAGGAGAGACGGAAATCGCTACTGGACCATCACTGGGCTATACCGAGCAAGGATAGAATGTCCATCGATCAAGGGAGCGAGGTTGGTATCCTTAGACATAACAAACAGTGAAATCTATATACCTATATAAAAGAGATTTCCACCTATATATTGACTCATCACGATATCTCTGGAACCATAAGGCGTAACGACTTGAAATTTGGTAGGATTATTCCTTTCGCCGAGTAAAGGTCAGCTAAGAACGGATTTTACGAAATTCCACCCACAAGGGGGGTTGCGGGGGGTAAACAATGGAAAATACGCTTTTACGCCTAAACCACTGAACTGATTTTAATGAAATTTGGTACAGAGATGGAGTTGACCTTGAGAAAGAACATGGGATAGTTTTTATTCCAGACTTTTGAAAGGTTCTCTTAGAAACGCGATATAACCGAACTCCACGCGGGCGAAGCTGCGGGCGGAAAGCTAGAGTTTATAAGTCATCGTGTTAATGTATTTTTTGCACGGATTTGCATATTATCAATATTTGATCACATTAACCATTGGTAGTAATTTTAGTTATTACTATTCAGGTGTCCTCCAGTGTGGATCACGGAAAAGAGGAAAGTCTGGAGGTGTCCGTGGCAGAGTGCTCTGAAGGGGAACGTGCTGATGCAGGGGAGCACGGAGAGGGAGAGGGGGAAGGGGAGGGAGACGGCAGCCAGCAAGGGGACGCCGCGCATCTCGTGAAGCTCTCCTACCACGACTCGGGAATCGATATACGAGATCCGCTGTTACACGTCAACACGGCTAACTCCAAGAAGGTATTATTCCTCATCAGCTGCGCCCCGCTGTTTCACCCGCGGATTTCCGGGATGTAAAGTAGCCTATGTGCTATTCCTGGACGTCAGCTTCCTGTATACAAAATTTTATCAAAATCGATTCAGCCGTTTGATCGTAAAGAAATAACAAACATACACACACACTCTCAAACTTTCGCAATTATAATATTAGTTGGATTTCTCATACAAAATCCTCGTGAAATTGCTAAGAGATATGATTTCATATGATGTATTGAAAATTTGGTGGTTCATTGCAGATAGTGTTCATTTTAATTTAGCACAATATTTAGCAGCAATATGATAAAAATCTAGCAAAAAAAATTGTTTCTCATAAGATTATAATATTCTAGGAGTTGTGTTATATTTGTCACAATATCGACACAATTTACGAGTTGCCGGAGACCGCGATGTCGTACGACTGGCACTGTGACACCACGTATGAGACCCAGTTCTTGAACTGTTTCGCTGTGTGTCATGACAGTGACGCTATGTCGTGTTCCACCGACGAGGTTAGAAATGAAATGGTTGGAGGTTCTGGTCGAAAATGTCGGTTTAGGGATCTTTTATTCTCTATTTCCTTGCAGGTTCTTCTTGTTATTTGTTCTCAGGTTTCAATCTTTGAACTCTTAATCGTTTCTTCATTGTCGTCCAATTTATGTCCTTCTTTCTAATAGTGACGTTCGTTGGTGGTGACTACGAAGTCTTTGTTTTTGAATAAATGTTTCGTTAGCTATTATTTATGTCTCAATTCAAAATCTTTCTCTTTTGTGTTGTTTGTGTTATGTTAATCTATTTGTGTTAATCACTAAGTAACTTGTTGTCTCAGGTGTACAGCGACGCGGATATAGTTCTATCAGCGGACTGGGTGCCGCCGGTGTGTCTGCCTCGCGCTGAGCCGCCCTTGTCTGCTCCCCCTCTTGGAGAGAATGAGAGAGCTCGGAAACCAGCAGCTGTCTCTTTCTCACTCGATGGCAACCAGAAGGAGGATTCGTCGAAACCGGAGAAGAAGAACAAGGTGGGTCAAGAAATATGAAATGTTCTAAGTTTATCACTTCGAAATGAAATTGAACTGCTGGTGTACATATATAATTTTTTTTATATTTTTAATTATAATTTCATCTATATATATAAAAGAAAGTCGTGTTAGTGACTCCACTTATAACTCAAGAATGGCTGAACCGATTTAGCTAAAAATTGGCAGGGAGGTAGTTTAGAGCCAGGAAATTGCAATAGGATACTTTTTATCCCCTTCGATAGCATTCCCGTGGGACTTGACATGAAACGTCAGTCACTATAAAACGTGGAATAACGAAACACAATTGACAGCTACGCAATTGACGTATAATGACAGATATGTAATGACGTAATGATGACAATTAGATATTTGTAAGAGATCTACTATATAAAAATAAGTCCGGTCCGGAACGAACTAATTTCCACGGTTTTGCATTCGTTGGAAAGGTCTCGGGTTCCATGAGGTATATAACAAAAAATTTCAACAGAAAAGCGGGAAAAGTGTTATTTTGTTGAACTTCTCTAAGTAAATGTAAGTGAATCCAAAGTAGATACCGAATCGAAGCGTTATGCGTGCCCACAAATTATCCGTTTCATTGAAGTGTTCCTTTGTAGACCACATTTTTTGTTTTTTGGTCTAACTTTAACACAAATAAAGCGGATGGTTTCCAAACTCGTGAACACGCAAAATATAACTGCCCAATGCCCATGTGAAAAACAATGATTTTCTAAATTTATCCCTCAAATACTAAATGGTTTTGAGAGTTCAAACTACAAACACAATACCGGTTTGTCACATGAAATTAACTGAGAAGAGAACAATGAGTAGCTGTCAAACAATGTATCATGCGACGGCACCATTTACTTAAAATATTGATTTGTAGTACATGTTATGTATGATGGCGCTGTATGTGTAGAAAGACTAGTAAACCCGGCGAACTCCGTTTCGCCACCAGAAGGCTTTTATATAACATTTCGTTCGGTGATTAAAAGATGAAGATTTTTTTTGTTTTATATTTGAAAAGGAAAATTTTTATTTCATTTCACAACAGTAATGAATTCATTTCGATTACATCATTTTTGTAATCACAACACACACACGCGCGCGCGGCGTGGTGTTGTATCAGCACGCCGCCACACGCGTCCACACTTGGAACGTGTCTACACTTTATTTATTTATTCGGAAATTTGGTCAAAAATTAATTACCTATTATTTTTACATAATTCGAATGAGAATCATGTACCGAGTATGCACCTTAAATATTGATAGTAATTCACCAGTCACCCTGTATATTAAAAATTCATAACCGGAACTGGATTCAAATATTGTATTGTGTAATGCTGAGTAGACGCTGCGAGGGTTAGGCCCTGTTTGTTTTTAGATAAAAGCGAGTTGGACGATCAGTTGGTCGACCAGTTGGACGATCAGTTGGTCGATCAGTTGGACGATCAGTTGGTTGACCAGTTGGACGATCAGTTGGTCTATCAGTTGATCGATCAGTTGGTCGACCAGTTGGACGATCATTTGGTCGATCAGTTGGTCGATCAGTTGGACGATCAGTTGGTCGATCAGTTGGACGATCAGTTGGTTGACCAGTTGGACGATCAGTTGGTCGATCAGTTGGACGATCAGTTGGTTGACCAGTTGGACGATCAGTTGGTCGATCAGTTGGTCGACCAGTTGGACGATCAGTTGGTCGATCAGTTGGTCGATCAGTTGGACGATCAGTTGGTCGATCAGTTGGTCGATCAGTTGGTCGATCGGTTGGACGATCAGTTGGTCGATCAGTTGGTCGACCAGTTGGACGATCAGTTGGTCGACCAGTTGGACGATCAGTTGGTCGATCAGTTGGTCGATCAGTTGGTTGATCAGTTGGTAGATCAGTTGGACGATCAGTTGGTCGATCAGTTGGTCGATCAGTTGGCCGACCAGTTGGTCGATCAGTTGGTCGATCAGTTGGACGATCAGTTGGTCGACCAGTTGGACGATCAGTTGGTCGATCAGTTGGACGATCAGTTGCCCAACCAGTTGGTCGATCAATTGGTCGATCAGTTGATCGATCAGTTGGTCGATCAGTTGGACGATCAGTTGCCCAACCAGTTGGTCGATCAATTGGTCGATCAGTTGATCGATTGAATGAAAATCTTATAATACTGCGATCTCTTTGAAAATCAATGAATTAATTTGCCGACTAGTAACCGAAACGTCGGGATCATCCCTACTAATTTTATAAGCAAAAGTAACTCTGTCTGTTTGTTACGCTTTCACGTCTAAACCACTGAACTGATTTTAATGAAATTTCATACAGACATAGAGTTGACCTTGAGAAAGAACGTAGGAAATTTTTCATTCTAGACTTTTGAAAGGTTCTCTTGGAAACACGATGTAACCGAACTCCACGCGAGCGAAGCTGCGGACGGAAAGCTAGTTAGTAATATAACCATGGTATTGTTTTTTTAATGTATATAGAAATGAGACGGAATAGTAATAATTATAGACTAATTAATTGGAAAATTTAATATATTATATAAATAATGTTCAGATGTTAAAACGCCTGTCCTACCCTCTATCGTGGGTGGAGGGTCTGACCGGTGAGGGTCCAGCCGGGTCGCAGGCGGACTCGCTGCCGACCTCCGCCGACAGTCACAACACCAGCGTCTTCTCTAAAGTCTTCAACAGGTATGTCTGAACAATCCGATTCATTCACACCACACGATATTTATATTGTACGAGACACGTGACATGTAAGGGTCTCTGTCGCTCCGCACTCGGCGTCATGCCAATACTTCCCGATAGTTTATATCACTATGTCAATACACTTATTTGTCATGTGCAATAAATAGTGTGAATAAATTATTAAAACTGTATAATAAAATAGCAATTAAAGTGATGTTTAGAATTTAATCCCGACTCACGACTGCACCTTCCTTAAACATTAATATTTACCCGCTAAGTGACTAAATACAACATAACTAAACAGCAAATCCCGGCCGAATACACCACCGATCGAACACGAATTAAAAAAAAAACAAATAACATTTGAATTCTAAATTTTTTCTGCTACCGTGGATGCTAACCGGGATGTACCGATTTGTATTGGTTAAGCTCACCAATGAACCTGGTGGAGTTCGGTACTGGTTTGTTCCTGAGTAAGACGCCCTCGGAGGAGGGGCCCGCCGACGGGTACGTGATACATCGATGTGCCCGACTGTGCCCGCCGACTACACGTTCACTCAACATTAGGGACGACATCTATATACAGGGTGTATTTATTCAACATTACGGCCATATTTTGTATACAGGTGAACAGATAATTTAATGCCTTAATGTATATAATGAATACACCCAACTTTGGGGGTTTAAATCTGTATACAGTGTATGTTGGGTGAACGTGGTCGCTTAGTCGTTACCGTACCCACTGTTCGTTTGTAGGTCCCACGGATATGACTGGTTGTTATTACTTACTGTCTCGTATATTTATTGAATTTTGGATTATATTTTTTGTAATTGCATTTTTTATTTATATGTATAAGTAAATCCAAAATTCAGTAGGTGCTTTTTTTAATATGTATAATGAGTGATAATTGGCATGGTGTTTATGTGAAAGTGGTGAGTTAGCGAGTCCTATAGAAGTATTCAGTTTGTTATTGTTATTGCACTGGCGGTGTGCCGACTCGACACGCTTTTATAGTTTAGTACCGAGCTATTGTTGTTTAAATGTTCGTTTATATTAAAATATAAATAAAACAAACTCCTATTGAAATATTTTCAAGTGGTTTTGATGTTTAAACAGTGATCAATATGAGTTCGTTTGATGTTAATTGTATTGTTATATTCATTATTCTATACGGCTTCCTATCGCTGTGTCGTGTCGTCCGCGGCTTCTAAGTCCTAGGAGTTGTTGGTTACTCATAGTATCAGCTGGGTCGTAGCCTGGTCGGTATTCGTATCATTCTCTTCCCCACTCATAAACATTCTGGCACCCTTTTATTGTATTTCTTACAAATCAGCATGTTAATCTTTAAGGATTATTATCTTTCCTCGTGTGTTTCAGGATCTACGAAGTTTTTGTTTGTGTTTATTGTTTCATATATTAATGTTGTGTTGTGATATAGACGGAGCTCGCTGGGAGGGTTCGGTCGTTCTCATCCCAAGCCAGCCAGCGCTCAACAACCGAGACTCGACTACCGCAGCATGGTGTCGGTGGACGATATGCCGGACCTGTTCGCGTCGTTTGATAGTACGTATTATAAATATCAGAAGACGTTTAATTGATATAACTGCTATAATTATTACATTATAACACGGCCTCTCTATCCTGAGATGAGTCCCACAATAAATAAAAAATATATACATGATGTGACACAGTACCTAACTAATTAAAAAGAAGTAGAACAGGTAATAATATTTAAAAATAGTAAAACTATTAAATATATGTATTTTTTATGTTTAGCCAAATTTTTAAATGAAATATAAAACTACTCGTTACAGAAATTAAAGTAGTTTCTTACTCAGATAACCAGAGACGTAAGTGTCCTAAAATATCACGTATGAATCACTGTCAAATCCGTCATGTCCACCCCCCACTTAACACCCACAGCGAAGGAGTATTAGAGGACTCTAAGCTATCAATATCATACAATTTGATATGACCAATTTAAATATTATTGAAAGATCTTATTACTTATATAATTCCTTTCCTTCCAGAGCTCATCCCACGCCCCGCTCGACCCAGCGATGATCCCCCCCTCTACCTCCGTCTCCGTATGGGCAAGCCGGCCGGTCGACCTCTACCGCGCTCCACACCGCTGATGTCCTATGGAAGGAAGAGGATGAAGCCTGAATACTGGTTCGGCATACCCAGGAACAGGTTAGCATTGAACACTCAATACTCAAACTCAAATAACTTTATTCAATATAGAAGCATTACACTTTCTTATTGATGGTTACTTGAGACACTACCACCGGTTCGGAAAAGAAAATACCCTAACCTGAGAAGAACCGGCGAAAGAAACTCAGCGGGTTTTTTATATATATATATATTTGTCTCATCTTCTATATATATAAAAATGGATTGCTGTTCCTTAGTCTCGCTAAAACTCGAGAACGGCTGAACCGATTTGGCTAATTTTAGTCTTGAAATACTTCTGGAAATCCAGGGAAGGTTTAAAGGTGAGAAAAATTTGAATAATTGCCGGGAAAACCCTAAAAACAGCTCTTTTCTATTTCCCATACAAACGGTTTTTTTGACATTAGATTTGACAACTAACTAATATGTCAATCATTCTGTTTGATTGAAACAGGCAAAACCTGATTATTATTTATGGCCTCTAAGACGGAATAGAGTTCGCCTGGTCAGCTATACCTACATATATTACTCTTGACCAATTTAACGCGGACGAAGTCGCGGGCAAAAACTAGTATATTATATAAACTTACACTCTATATAAGATGCAATACCTCTAAGCCTTTCGTTCTTAGTTAGTCCACATTATATTAGTCCCTATAAAATAGATAATTTTCTTCGTCTATCAGAGACCGAAAATTTCAAAAGCTAAGGCGTATTATATTTTTTATTAATGACGTCAAGTCATTGTTACGACATTGTTTCTCATATTCGTTCACCTTGAATGATTCCGTATGTTTACGTAAGATGACGTAGTTTTGGTTTTCCTTTACTCATTATAGAACTGAGGAAAATTCGTTTATACTAGTCTAACTCATGGATTCCAGGGGTTATATTGGTGTTTATAATATTTAATTTATCGATCAGATTGCTGTAACAATGACATATATATTAATGGATAAGTTTGTTAGTTTTTGTTCAAATTCTAAGAACTAGGTTTGTTTTAGTGATATGATATTAGCAGTGAAACAGAAAAGAGCACATACATTTTATGTAAAACAAGAAAAACTATTGATTAGTTAACCAAAATGGCTAGGGGGCTCTATTTAAACTAGTTTATAAAAATGTCGTCTGCATATCACAATTTCATATAAAAATTTAATTTTGAGCGCATAATAGTTTATAAGTAAGCATCATGTGGTAGTCCAGATTCACGTAGAACTATGTAATCATCTATTATACATATAAAGTTAAGTTAGTTTGTATATATAATATGTTAAATCACACCACCCACAGGGTCGACGACCTCTTCAAGTTCCTGACCCACTGGGTCCCTGAGAGGTACGGGCCTCTGCGTGACGTCACCGCTCACGGCTACGAGCTTATAGACAGCGACACGGAGTGGGACGACGATGACGCCAAGCCCGGACAGAAGGTGAAAACTACTTTATTACTATAAAGTATAGAGTCGACATTACATTGTATGGAATGCTATATGTGACTACCGTCAAATTATTCATAATTTAGTATGTGACTTCAACTATCATAAATTACATATCTCATACTGCATTTTAACTCAACTGCCATGTCAATACTTATTTAGCAAAACTGTCATCTATATAAATTAATCTGAGTAAACCAGTAACTCTAAGATCACAGAGTTCGTATAACTCAGTTATTGAATATTTTGTATGGACAAAAGTAATAACTTTACTATATATTTTTTGATGTAAATTTCAGTCTCTTAAAGTTTTCACCTAACAAATATTTATAGAGATTACCGTTCAAGATAAGACATGTCACTGTCTTTATACAGTTGGTTATGGTCCCTGCTCTCTTAAGCCCCTCAGTGAGTTAACAAACATAGCTATATACAATTTATAATTATAAGGTTTACGTAATAATAAAGAAATATAACGTCGCGTGGAAATCTGGGGTAATATTATGTCGACTGTTATATAGGTTGTTTAATTCATACAATGAATTTCTCCCAGTTTTCTTTGAAATTTTGATATTTTTTTTGATTTGGAAAATTTGGGTTGAATAATAATCAAGAATCGCTCTAGTTATTGTCAGTTAGGAATTGATCCAGAGAAATTTATCCTATTTGAAAATTAGTTTTATATTTTTTTTTGTTTTTCTCGTTTTTTTTATAATGATGTCATAGTTTAGTACATGTCCATATTAATTGAATCCCCAAGTTTAAATTCGATTATTATATGGTATTGATGACGTAATACAGTAGATATAACACACACACTTACACCTACACACACAAATATACATTTTAAAACAATAATCGATTAATAAATCACTAACAAAATCTTGTAGAGTCACTGCTACGGTTATATTAATAATGTTATAAATGAAATTTTATCTTAGAAAATATATGCGGAAGTGAAATTTCCCATATAATATAATAAATGATGTAGATGTGTTTATAAAACCGTATATTTACAATGTGATATCTCGCCATCACTCATCGAGATAATGAGTTTACTCTGTAATATGCTTTAACATACAGCTGTATATAACAAAACAGATTTATAACAAGCAACGGCTTTATATAAATTTTTAATAACCATACCTTTATATTCATTAATAAAATTTCCGTATCGTTTTCAAAATAGAATATTCCGTATAATCGAATTGAAAAATCGATTATTTCTTGTTATTTCATCGTAATTTTATGCGTCTTTGTACTCACCCTGTATTTGGACTGATATTATCATTTACAACCAATAAAAAAAATTAGAAGAAAATATTTTTCTCTATGGAAAGAACATAGATTATGTATGCACCTATTTTTTTTTATTTATATAATTTTATACTTATACTGTATTTCTGTTCATAGGAACGTATCGGCAGTACTGGAGATGTATCGGATATAACGAGAGAATCCTGGGAGGTGAGTTGTGTATTAAATTATATATTAACATATGTATTATATAAGTTTCTAACACTTGACATTCAGAAATATTGCAGTACACATTGAACAGTTTATATGTACATGGGTATATAACAAATCTACTAACAAATATGTATATGCATTAATATATCCGTGAAATATTCACTATATATGTATGTATGTATATATAGAATATTTTTGTGATATGACTAACAAAATACTTCATTTCTTAACCATCATACGCACGTTACAAATCTTTAAAATAATATCCATATGATACTAGAACAAATGCAACACGTTTATTGTTTATTAAGGGTTTTTTTATTAACGACAATGTTTCTACATATCCTGACATAAATTTCTATAACAATATCTTAATTAGCTATTCGCCACACGTTTAAACTAGCCGTGGAACAATAGACACTATACATATATAAATAGGGTTCATAATAACGGACGGTTCCCTAGCTGCTGAAGGCGCCCTACGTGAAAATATATTCTATAATGAAGAGTCAGGCTGAAGCGCTCGGGGACTCTCTAGGCGAAGAGCCGCAGACCGAGGTATCACTAGTAGGATGTGTTGTTTAGGATTTTTTTCCTTGATGTTATCATCACATAGCTCCTGTACTATAAGTCTCCGTAAACAGCGCACTGCATGTCTAGGCTAGGTTAGATCTAGAATCTAGGTGACGTGACTTGGTAGTTTGAAAATCTAATAATACTATAGCCTCAGAAACTAATATGAAATTTCATATCAAAGTCCATTATATTAATATCGATTTATTAGAAAAATAATAAGTTAAAATATGAACGTGCGCAGGCGCACGTAGTTTGAACTGTAAGTTGAAAAATAATTTGAATACATCCTTGCTATATATCGACTGTTGACCCGTCAGTATGTGATCAATAAAACATAAAACTACTAGTCACGTCGACTATAAACTGTAAGTGGTCTACTTAGTGCGAACAGCACCTATAGTGATTCATGATGCACGTACCCAGTAAGGAATGACTTGGCAAATTTTTTTGTTATACCAGTGTTTCCTTAAATATTGTGTTGCAATACATTACCGTATAGTTACATCATTATTACTATTTCCATATTTGATACACAAACAAGGGCAGGGTTATTTTAAAGTTGTTTTCGTATACGATTTATTTATGTGGGTAGTTTAGATATTTCAATGTTAAAAATCGAATTTTATTATTTCTGTTTTTTTTATACGCTGTTGACAAACTGATGGAAGATTTTTATATCATTTAGTTAACCAGGAAGCTATAAATTTACATCTCCTAGGTCTATCATATTTTGTTATAATCAAATAATTATTAGATCATACCTCTTGATCATTGTTTGGAACGTTTAATTTTTAATCGCGAATAATTTCGTAACGCCCCGCCGGTATGTTCAAACCTTCACAATAGCTGTTATCACCGAACAATAGAATTGTAACCCAACTCACGTAATCACACCGCTTGGAGACTGTTCTGTGAAAACATGCTATTTTTTTTTAATTCCTTCTCCATTACAATTGAAATTATATAGGATATTTCTCATATAGTTGGTTTTCATGTCCTATGCAAGTTTTTCTAATGTTTATTGAAAGCTGTCATGTAACTGAACTGATGTTTTGTTAATGAGGTCGTATGGTATGCGTGTGTCGCGCGTCATTGGCACCATGCGGGTAGAACTATGTTATTATAAAATATTTACATACAAGAATAACATACAAATAGCTTATGACAGCGACGGATGTATCTGCTTTAAAGTAATATTATAATTTTTAAACTAAACTATAATATGAAGGAGAAGGAATCGTAAAATTAAAACAAAATCGTTGACTGCGTTATAACATTTTTTGTACAGTCGTTATAAACTTTTTTGAAACAAATTTGACGTGATTTTGACATCAGCCAAGTGACAGAAGAAATATAAACAAATATATAATGAAGGCCAAATTTTAAACTACCAACTAATAATATAGTAAATAATTTAAAAAACAAGGTAAAATGTCATATAATCTTAATAATTACATTAGTTAGAAATCATCGTACCTATGTATATAGTTTACATTTCGAGTACATCGTCTCTCGAGGAAATTATTGTAACGATTGATTTTCATTTCAAAAACTAAAATTAATACTATCAAATTAATGAAACTAATATTATTCTAATTACCAACCGCGATCACAGTTGCTGGAGAGAAACCAAAGTTTCAGGAGTATGTAGTTTCTTAAAAAAATAAAATACGCGAAGTAAACCGTATAATATTATTCATTTAAATGAATACTCGCGAGTCTTAGATCTCATTATTATCAAATCATTATTTATAATTTGATTATTATTAATTAGTGATTGTTTATAAGTCGTATTAGGTGTTACAAAGCTTCCTTAAGACCTCGTCTCGGATATCCTAGAGCTATTGTGAGTTGATTGATCGCAAGCCTTAATCGTTCATCTCAACTGTTCTATGTATTATTTAACAATCTATTCTATTACAGTGTCTTGTACACCTTGATGATTTTATTAATATTTAATTTTCAACAATAAAACTGCATATGAATGCTGTGAAAGTCGTAAACGGATCCATAGTTAGAGACTAGTTTCTTAAACTGTGGGCAATATATATATTGTAAATAAAATAAATGCCCAAATAGTTAGTATACACTTTACTTTTATAGATCATATTAAACTTTTTCTGCTAGAAATTTTACATCACTATATCTCCGTTTTAAAATTATCATCGTACTTAACGTTATGTGTTATATTGTGGGCAATCACCAGCATTGATACCTATTTCATAAACAGGAACTAAAAACTTAAAATCTTATTTACACTAACTGCGTACCTACATATAAAATACCATTTAACAAAAGGCTGGTATGTTAATGACGTAGAGGTGGCTCACAATAGTAATCAGAGTTTTCAACGTCAACTTTTCCAACGTGTCAGTTAAGGTCATATTTAACAGCGTGAATTATCTTTTGTATAAACACTAGAGAAACAAGCTTTTCCGAAACTAATTATAATATAAACCAACAAATATACCGTTGAAAAATCACAACTAATATGCATCAGGAATCAATTTGACATAGAAACGTAACCTTGGCCCGGTTTCGAAAAAAAAATTCCACTGTTTTTTTTTTTGAACCGTTTTGGATTTTTTTGTTTGAAATATAATAAAGATGTCAATTGATATTATACATACAATAAATTGTACGTCTTCGCAGAAACGCACATGTCTTGTGTTACATAGTACGGGATGCCTTATAAATTAATTAATTGCAGGGCACTTTTATGATTATTGTACATAACATGTTTTTATATTACTTGCATTAGATTGAACAGGTTCAGTACGTCTTTATTAAGAAGTATTTTTATAATTATAATATATGTAATATATTTTAATTACTTAGTGCATTAAAAAGAATTATATTCACGGTGAGTTTGAGTGAAAAGCTTTTAATTATTTGGCATAATATATTTGTATCAAATAATGAATTCATAGTAATTATTTCATAAATATGCAATTTGATTATAAAAAAAATTAAATTTATCTATCTTATAAATTTTACACTAAGTAATCAATAACTTGCTAGGAATTCGAGAAGAAATGCGACGTACAGTCATTTATAATAGAAATTAGTGAACAAACGATTGAATGATACTTTTATAAAGTAATTTATGTTTATACACATATATGATACCAAGCCTTCTTACCATCAATACACGTTGCCTGAAACACTAGACGTTTCAATTAACAATATATGAGTTATATCGTTTAATACTGTCATGATAATTTTAATTATCTCTATTTGTCGACGAGTTGAGAGTTTAACAAATTAAAAGTCAGTTTGTCTTGTAATTATTAGTTATTATTTTCTAAACTATATAATAACAGTGTGTTTATCGGAGAAGAAAAGTAATTTTGTTGTAGGAGTAGAGGTTTATAAGTAAGAATATAAGTTTATATTATTTTTAAGATTGAAAAAGTCCTAAAATGTCTAAATTTTAACTCCTGCTCGATGTTGTTTAGAACTCGGAAAGAAATTCTATATTAACTGTACAAATGTAAATTTTTAGAATTAATACGTAATAGTAGCCTCTAAAAGTTGAATTTTTCCACGATTAATTTATTCATTTACATACATTAACATAAACTGGCCGTCTTCATCGAAAAAAAGGTTTCAAAAAATGTTTTGAACGTTTTTGCGTAATGTTTTTCTCGAATCTACTTGTGGCAACAACTAACGTAATGCAGGAAAAAACTTGTACAGAACATTTATATCTGGATGAGTGTAGGGTTTTTTCAATTAACAATAATGTTTTATTACTATTTTAGAACATTTAATAATTTATGTACATCTTTGGGCTTGTATGGTTAAATCAAAAATCAACAGTTGTTTGTAATCGTCCCAAATTTGAATCTTGTAAAAGTCTGAAACTATTAGAATCTAGTTTGACAATGAATAATTTGTTCTTATGGCCCTAAAAAACGCGTCCAAAGAAAATATCTAAATGATACTTGAATTTATTTATCTCGGTGATACTATCAACAAAATATGATTTTTAATATACTAGGTATTAGTATGTAGTTTAAATATCAAAAAACAATTCCGAAGGCGGAAACGAACGACCAGAATTTTCCAAAATATTTTAAGGTAATCACTATATCCTGAATCTTTGGCCTTTAGTGATGAAATCATCTAAAATTTAGTAAATTGCATATTATAAATAAATTTTAGAAAAGACCCAAGTTTACGTAATTTTGTATAATATTTACTTTTTCAATAGACATTGTTATAACTTGTCACTATTATTTCTATATAATGTACACAATAAATTTGTGCTATTACATATTTCAAGCAATAATGTCTTAAACTATTTATTATCATGACTAATTAATTTAGTTGATTGCATTCTTAACTTGTTTAATTTAATAACCGATGGAAACTGTCTCAGTCATTTATAGCGGACGCGGTTCATATGTTTTTAAAGAGAACTTGTTATATATCATTAAGTTGATAATTAGTTTTGATGTTAACATTCTCATATTTAAAATACATTAAAATTGTTCCATTACATTAGTATGAACTCGCAAGCTTGTAGTTTAAAAAACTATTTGTGATTTTCTGATAGTTATGCAAATATCAAAATTGGTTGTTATATTAGTTTTATTAATATACCTATAAAACGATTCTATGAATGAATTTTAATGAGCAGACTAGCGGATGTAATCTCATCACGGCGAATTGACGGGAGGTGACATATTAATTTTATCCGAATACCAATTCGTTATAAAGTACATTATTGTGATCTCTGATACAACAACCCTCTACAACTTTCACGTTTCATTTTCATAGTCGTTTTGTTTCCCAAGGTCACCATTACAATCCTTAATCGTATATTCAACAACTGCAGTGCACCTCCGATGTAATTCTGTCATGGTAGCGGGGTCGGTTGTTCTTTCGTGTGCCGTCTCCGGCTAGTAAACGAGACGCTCGACTCGGCCGTGGTCGTCTCGGACGTTGGACGTTCAAATCATTATTTAATTAACGCGAGTGCACCAAAACTACTTCCTATATAACGTGATGTACAAACTGCATCGAGCAAATATATCGAATTAATGTATTGAATAGCTACAGACTAGCTCAGTACGTAGTGTAGGACCGTTCATAATCCACGTCGACGTACATGTTTCTAAATAAAGAGTTGGCCAACGTGCTCGCTGTTTATATTTAAGTTTTCCCCCGTGTAGTGTTTGTTTGTGTATTGATGTGATATCTGTTACGGACAAATGCAGACTATGAAATGGATAGAGATGGTCCGGCTGGGTCCGACGTCACCGGAAAATTCTTCGTCTTTTGACAACGACAAGGTGAGACCTGTGCCCTCGCGTTTCACGTACGACAGACCACAAGAGAAAGTATCGTATAATAAGCACGTATACAATATCTACTAACATCGTTAAATATTAAAACTTTTGTTATTTTATTCACGAAACACGCGTAATGTTTATAAAAAAACTATTATTAAAGGGTTATCTTCACTCAACGTCCGTGACATTAGGCGCTAAGATGTTTACAATGAATCATAGATTAATTTAGACTTCAATTCCGTTATAACAATATTTATATTTATTCATTTATTATCATAAGTACATATATTAATATTTAACTTTAAAGAGAAATAAAATTGACAAGGTTATAAAATCATTAATTGCACGGGAAATAGCACTGCATTAAAAATGTTTTGTATTCGTATAAGAACGTGACGTCCTTCCCGATCACTCGCTTTAAAATTATTCGTCGTTTAAATTTATATATGAAGTAAATCAAATAATATAATGAGGAAAATAGTAGGAAGTTGTACCAGACAGCTTATGGTACAGAGTACGGTCACAGTTTGATCTCGATAAGCTAACAATGCTGAAGCGTGAAACAGCTTAAACTCACCAAAACAATATGCAAATATATTATTAGTAATCCTATTATAAATGTGCATACGTATAACGTTATATATATTTTGCGTTTTGAATACTAAACTGGGTGATTAAGAATTTTCGAGAGACGCAGTTTTGAGTCTATTACGTGGGAAGTTTTATTATTGTTAAATATATATTCAGAATAGACATATCTGGCAAAAATATAGTTGAATTTGAATTTTTCTTTAAAGATATGAATATATTGATAACATCAGTAATATTGTACAATTTGTAAAGTATTTTTCTTTTCATGTTTATACATATACAACGAGGCCATTTTAGCTCCAGAGTATAATTAAATGATCCAGATAATTCGATGCATGCTAAATTATGTTCAAGGTCTGTGGATTAAATTCAACACGTCTGGATGAATTCGAAATGGAAACATGTAAAAAAAATTAACAGTAGAAAATAATTATTTACTCTTTTTTTGTTATAATAGTAAGGTTTACAATATTCAGCATTTTTATAAATAAGTAATCTGGTAACATAAAACGCAAAAAAGTGAAAATGTTTGAATTATAAGTATTTATTAACGTATATGTTAAAATAAAAAAAAATGTTAGGTATGTTATTAATTAGGAATAGCAAAATCTTGTCCGTTGTAACGAAATTATTTCGGAAGATAAGACATACATATAATAAAATATCAAAAGTGCAATAAATACGTCACCGAAAATGATATAAAATTTAAAGCTTTTATAGTAGTAATATATATTTTTAGGTATTTTTATCGATTTTTTATTGGTTTATAATAAATCGAATGACAGATAACAAATAATGTTTACTTAAAAATCGGTTGAAATAAACGTCTCGAGTTCGCCGTCCGGTGTTAGTGTATACAAAATTAATTATTATTGATATTTAACACAAATATTTATTAAATATTAAAACAAAACATAACTCGTAAATCTTAACAATATGCTTCGTAAAGCTATGACAGTTATTATAAAGAATGTACGCAGTAAGAATAAAGTAAGTGCTGTGGTTAAAAGGGGATCGATACATTCAATTTGTCGTCGGAGCGCTCTGCATTGTGTCTGTGAGGTGAGAGAAATCATTTGACACCGCTAGGCTTATAAACATATTAAATATAACTGTTTTCGTTTAGAATTTTCTAGAAATCCTACAAAATTTTGATAAGTATTAAAAAATTCTTCTCTATAATTCGTCATCATTATTAATTAAGTTAAACACATGTATATGGTTTTTGTTTCCTTGTTATTTCATAAAAGCTAAAGTTATAATGCACATGTCTAATAGCTGAACGTTTTGAACATCACAGTTTTTGTTAGACATTTTTTGTTGTTGTTGTTTCGGTTAGCGGAAGTAGTGCGCACGCGCACGATACACACGAAGCAGTGTTGAATGTGATCTGTAGTTGTAGGGAATGCATCATTATTATAATAGCTGAGAGTATCATATTTCATTAATTATAAGTGACGTCATTCATCCCGATGTGGTAGCTTTCAGCCAGAACCAGATGATAATCATTATATCACAAGCATGATGCACTATTTTTATATGAATAATACTACCGTACTATATATGTATAGAATATTGGACGGTTTGGAAAATTGTTCTCATTTTTAATACAATAAATTGTCCTCTGATAACGGTTACCCTTTTGTATTTAACATAAAAAAGTGACGTATTCCCCCGGCTGGTGGAGTAACAATTTTTTAAACTGGTTCATTTTGAGAAAGTACATTTCACCACCGGTTATGAAACGAGATATATCGTTATGAGTCCTGCTCATAATAAGACGTACAGTACTCGAGTTAAAGTGGTGGTGTGATCTGTTTCATCATTAAAGGTACAGCCTGTTAGCTGGTTATACATGATATATTGTCACGTGTAGGTGCTGTCGATGAGCGATGAGCTGCGTCGCGCGCTGTATTCGGGCGCCTCACTGGACATGGAGTTCTCGCCGCCGGATCTCATCGGGACCTCCGAGATATTCACCATGGAACACCGGTAAGAATTTCGGGACGATGAAAGTCTCGAAAAATTACATTACCAATATTCATAACGCTATACTTGTTATATTTAAATAACTCGACTTAATGTTGAAGGAACATTGCTTAAAGTGTTGCCTGTAACTTTTTGCGATAATTTACGGCCATTGACACGAGCGGCCGAGCAACGAGTTATTAGTATTAAGTTCAAGTTATTCAAGAACCAACGTACTATGATACTTTTGTGCTATGATACCCGTGTACCACGATACCGCATTGAAACACGATTGAGACTTGTACACGCCATTTTAAAACAATAATCACCCATATCATACAATTGTTTTGCAAAAGCTGTTCGTAAAAAACAAAGTAGGATAATGCTATACAATTATATTTATTGCAAAAAAATGTATGGGTGCTCATTATGCTGTCGAGTTTCTACGTTGTAATTTTGAAGTAATTTAATGAAAAACAAATTAAAATAAATCAGATTAAAATATTCTTATGTAGAAATAGCTATAGCGTGTTCCTTGTATAAAATGTGTCATACTTTACACAAGTTTATCATGAAGAGAGATACGGATGAGAACAAGACAATCTCTTATATCCAAATATTATTTCCATTCGTCATACAAGAGAATTAATTATATACATATATATTATTATATATGTATTTTTGAATTAAAGAATGTTACTACATATTTTGTTTTCATTTTAGATTGGACATAATTTTTATTTGATATAAATTTTTCATGGAAAAATTAAATTTGCCTGTTCCAAAAGATTGTAAAAAAAATATTACATTCACTCAACATGTATGTAAATTAAAAAAATGTTTTTATATTTCACATAATCTTAATATCGAGGAATTAAGTAATACAGAACACAAATGATATAGTTTATTAAATTTCGTGTTAGAAAACGAACGGACGGCCTTCAACTATCATCCGAATGTTTGTATATAATTAAATCAATATTTTTTATTTGAATATAAAGATATCGAACTCGGACTATCATGTGGTGATTGATATAATAAAATTGATCATTTAAAAAGTCTGTATTCTCATTTTAAAGACTATGGCATAATGCATATATCTCGTGTATTAAGTATCATGGTGTAATTTTACAGTGAGAAGTTATGCAGCGTGCTGCCAGCCCGCGCCCAGGGTTACATGTGGCAGCTAACATTCAGCACCAGCCAGCACGGCTTCTCGCTGGCCTCTATGTACAGGAAGATGCAACGAGTCGATAGTCCTGTGTTGCTGGTCATACAGGACACCGATAACAACGTAAGACAAAATCAAATACATATAACTCACAAAAAACTACTTTGAAAACAACGCCATCTATTGACCGCTCAAGGTAATTAAAAAGCCAAATTAAACCCTTATTTGAAATAAACAAGAATAACCACGATATAATCATTGTATATTGAATCATTATTGTCATTAAAAAATACACACATAAATGAGATTTTGAGATTTATCATAAGACTAGATCTGTAATGGAATTTCAAATTAACCTGTCGTTCTTGAGATATAAACAGTGGTGTTCATATATTGTATAAAATAATGGATAAATAAATATTTTTATAGTAAATACCAACTACTCTGTAGATCTATAAAACAGTGCTATTAACACTCGCGCCAGTTTAATACAAAAAATTGTAAACTGTAATAGTATGACCTTGACATTTAACAACGATATGTTTATTCCATTTGTCTGATATGACACATTTAAAATTCAAATAAATTACAATAAAAATATAGAAACTAAGATAACTAACTGATCTAGCGAATAAACCGTATTCCATCGAATAAATTTTTATAAGGTTTTTAAAATTCATTCCTCTTTTAAAACGTGCATTGAATTCAATTGTAATTCATCACTTGGAATAAGCTTTTTTTAATAAAAGAAATTACATATATTAAAATACTCTCCTAAGTGATTTATTATGTTGCAACAAACTGTGACTGTTGAAATTTTAATATTTTATTCTGTTAAAGATGTAGAAATATATCTCTTATGTTTTTTATTACATATTTTTAAAAATAAAAACAAGTAAAAATTCATAAAATATTTTCTAAATATTCATCGTGTGTTCCGTGATGATTTGAAACGTGCAAAGAACAATAATAAATACATTTAAATATACCGTTTAGCCTCCGGTTAAAAAAAAACACGCGGCGCCTCCAGTAATATCCTTAAGAATAAAATATGCAACGTTCTTCTTTTGATGCATTCAGAAATCGTGCTTAAGGTCACAGAATATGTCAAAAATAAACAATTATTTAATCTATGAATATCAATGTGGAGCTATCTTATGAATGAATAATATATATACAAAAAAAATGTATTAATGACAACAAAACTAAAATCAAATTAAGATAATGTTTAAACAACATAAATATGCCCGATATGACAAAAAAAATAAGTAATATGTTTTGGAATTAGGTCGAGTGTTACAGAAATTCACAAGATAATTTATATAGATATTAAAAAGTAACTGTTTAGAGCATCTCATGTATTTGCTCAGAGCTGTTGGCTGTTAGTTATAAAGTGTGTTTGACGTTTTCCAGGTGTTCGGTGCGCTGACGTCATGCGCGTTCCGTCCCTCGGAACATTTCTACGGGACGGGCGAGTCACTGCTGTTCTCATTCCAGAGGGAGGAAAGACGTCTCTCACAGACGAAGGACGACCACAAGGACGCTGGCGACGAAAAGGACAAGGATAAAGATGGTATACATACATGCGACTACATATCTATATATACAGGGTGACTGGTGAATTACTATCGATATTTGAGGACGTGATATTTGACGATCATATATGACGAAATAAAAATTAATATAACATAAATATTAATAAACTTCTAAGTAAAGTTAACCAAAAGTTGTGTAATTAAATACGCATCGTATGAACACCCTACAGATTACTCTACACTACACACTCACACATACGCGCGCGGCGGCGTGTTGTTGTATCAGCACGCTGCCGCACGCGTCCACACTAGGAACACTTGGAACGTGTACACACTTAATTTATTTATACGGAAATTTGGTCAAAAATTAAGTACCTATTTTTTTTTTACATAATTCGAATGAGAATCATGTACCGAGTATGCTCCTTAAATATTGATAGTAATTCACCAGTCACCCTGTATAATAATGAATTGGTGTTCGTTAGTCTCGCTAAAACTGGAGAACAACTGAACGGATTTATCTTAGCTTAGTCTTGAAATGATCGTGGAGGTTCAGGGAAGGTTTAAAAGGTGAAAAAAAATATTCATTTCCGGGAAAACCCTAAATACAGCCCTTTTCTATTTCCCAAACGTTTTTTTGACATTAGATTTGACAACTAACTAATATGTCAATCATTCTGTTCGATTGAAATAGAAAAAATTTAATAAATACCACTACCTGGTTATTTAAGACGGGATAGAGTTCGCCCGGTCAGCTATATCTATATTACTAATGACGAAATTAATGCGGACGAAGTCGCGGGCAAAAACTAGTTAAATATATAGTGTTAGGTCACAGTTTGACACTATTGTAATTAATTATAAACATGTTGTTCTCACGTAAGTCTGACATTCTATGGTAAAGTCAAATTAAGATTGTATGTTTGTTTACAGAACAAGTCGTGCCAGTAAAAACCAAATTCAAGTACTGGGGCTGGACCGGAGACAACATGTACTTCATCAGAGGAAGTAACGATAACATCTCATTCGGTGCTGGAGAGTGAGTTCACATAACATAGACCCATACAATATTTACACTTTATTTAAGCTTGTCTGTGTTACTAATAATATTTAATTTCGTCAGTGGCAAGTTCGGCCTGTGGCTGGACGGCGACCTGTACCTGGGCCGGACCCAGCGCTGCACCACCTACGGCAACGAGCCGCTGACCACGCGCGAGGACTTCGTCGTCAAGATCATGGAGTGCTGGACCTTCATCTGAACGCCCACCACCGACGCTAGCTTTACTCTCTTATGAAATTTGCTACGATTTGACACCTTTACATGTCGGTTTTGACTGTACCCAAGATATTTTGTACTCGCATCGACTCGAGCGCCCTCCCCTCCTCTCTCCCCCCTTTGAGATGGTAGTCTGCGCGCTTTTCTAGTCAAACGTACTGAATCCCGACCACTGTTTTAATTGTCCGTTTAGAGGCGTGCGTGCTCCACCGCAGCGAGTGCGTTGAACCTAGTCAATTGTCGTTCGTATGTAGGTTACGGCGTACCGCCGGTAACGATTACGTGTCAATTCAATTAATGCATTGTTGTTAAGAAAAAAATAAATAATAAAAAAATATTTGTAATGATTAAAATATCATTGTATAACGTTATGTAGAGGTTTATATTTAACGTAACGGTTTTTTGTGAGCGACAGTCTATTGGTGTTGCCCACTTATTGACGTTGACGTAATTTTTATTGATTTCATACAAATCTGTCATTACCTGTTTGGGCCACTCGATTTTCGGCGGAGTCTGACGTGCTGAAAGCGTCTTGCCAAGAGCATGGTGGTTACTAAAGTTACTCATGATACTGTTTTTATATTATAGATTTTGTGACTTCACCTATATATAACATAATTATTTCTTTTAGTTTCGAAGTGGAATGTTTTGTTGTCATGTCTGTACGTATTTTAGTTGTATACCCTAAGTTAGTGAACATGGTACGTGTCTCACTTTCACTGTGATTTGTTTATTATGAATGCATTTTATTATAATATTGAAGCGTTATTGTGTAATTATTGTTTAAAAATGGTAACTTTAGGTTGACCGCATTAATTAAATTTTTATTTTTGCTTGTAATCACTATATTCCTTAGTGAGAATGTATGTTAGGTAAATTTATTGGAAATATTATTGATATATTTGTGTTTATTGATTAAACAAGTATAAAAATATTGTGTAACGCTTCAGTACAGAAACGAGTAGCTGGATATGATATAATTAGAGGAACATTATAAAATAGATGTCTTAGAGCTTGATGAATGTATTCGTCATTGTGCTTATTAGTAATTGTGTCACTTAGCATGATCTTACTCAGATGTTTTCTGGTCGTAAAGTTATTTATTGATCATATTTTAGTGTACTACGACTATTCAGAGTATTGTAAAACGGAATAGTGACTACTTATCATGTGCAGTATTCAATTTTCTTATAATTATAATACTTAAATACATAACTGTGCAATATTATCCAGGTGTCACTACAGCGTTATTGAAATTATTAAATGCAGATATGGACGCATTGAAATATTATATAGATGGCCAGTTTAATTGCAATAAAAGGTCTGATGAATGAAAAATATGTTCTACATATTAACCGGTCTATATTATCATATTGGAGTTGCTAGACAGAAGCAGTAGGTTGTTAAAATAATATTATAGATGGTTTTAATCCTCAAGTGAAAAGTAGATACACACTTATTTAATGTGAAATATTATTTTGTGTATAAATCCCGAAAATTTGATATTTTTAAGATATCAAGTATGCAATATCGCCAGATTGTGGACATCAAATTATCACAACTGCTCTGTCATTTGAATGTTTCAGACATATTGTTATTGTTTACCATCAAGGTGTAGTGATGATTAATTTATATAAAACAAATATTTATTGGCATAATGTTAAAGATATATAATCACTATTGAATTGTTAAGTAGCAGTGAGATGTTTAATATTTATTTATGTTATAATTTGTAATCTTCAATTGCTGCTGTAGATGTTGCGTTCCGGTGATCTATTATGTAATATCTAAGTTGTTAAAATGTAAATCAAGCCATAATAACTGAGAATATATTCTTTTGAAGAACAGTGTTTTTATTTGTATTTATTTTATAAAAATAATTAATCCTTATAGAATAGTTTAATATCTTGAATGGTAGCCGTCATTGTTATGGTAGTCATTGTAGCCTCTGTTGTCATATTGACTTCTGCCATGTCTGTTGTAGTCACCTCGGCCCCGTCTATCTCTGTTACCGTAGCGATCATATGGATGGTGCCTGTTGTTATACCTGCGATCATGTCTTCGACCTGAACTGTTGGAGGACAACCAATTTTCTAAGATGGGTGGTGTGGGAGGATCTCTATTAAAAACCTTCATGTACTCCTCGTCACGCTCTGTATATCGATCTTTGAACTCTGCTTCACATTTTTCTAAAAACTCTTTCTCATCTGCAGATAGCCCATCAGAATCCATATTTATAAATTACTCGATGGGAATGTTAGAAGGGAATCTGTAACTGAAAAAAAAATGCATTTACTACAACAAGATAGAATCAAAGTTGATTAACAATAACTTTTCACAAACAAAAGCCCCAAAACATGATTTGAGACAATTTCTATTTAACAGAAGCTTTAAAACTGGGAGATGGGTACTTGTAATTAAGAATAGAGTGAATGGTCTTTTGACTGTTATGGTAAGCACTTGTAAACTAATTTAAAAAGTTTTCCCATTGATATAGTAAATATGTGCACATTAATAAGTCATGAACCAAATGAAAAGCTAGATGAGAACAGCATAAACATTGAGATCATTTAGAGAATTTTGGTGCGAATTCACTAACTGGACCATATGATAACAGACAGATGTTCTTATTTGTTCAATCCAAAACTTTTTCTCATAAATCATTAAATGTAGATTTTAAGACAGCTTTATGTTTACTTATCATCATTTTAATTACTTATTTAATAAAATACATTACTAAAAATAAATTACTTTAATTTATTAAATAAAAGAAGTTAAGTATATTGAGATGGTTTTATGAGTTTACGGAGATTTAATTTAAATCAAATAAATTGTATAAAGAAAATTAATCTAATTCCACATGTCTAGTTATCAGACCTCAGGATATCACAATCAGTACGGTAATTCAAAAAGTAATAGTATAGTACTACTACTGTACTACTTACTGTTGATTACTACTAATCAACAGTATCCTACAGTGAGTGTACATTGATATATTTTGAAAATAATCAATGATTGTTGATTATGTCCTGATTATTTATGTCAAAAATATAAATTATACACCTTCAATACTTGTCTTCTATTACAATTAATCAACAATTTGATAAAATTTATTTCCAAAGAGACCAAGAAATACAATGAATTATCAACTCGTCATATCGCTATCAGCTTCAAATTGTAGTTGATATTAACACTATCAGCAATCCAAAAACAAGACAAGACAAACACAGTAGTCCAGCCATAATGAATCAGATAATTACACTGTTCACCAATAAGTTGTGTAAGAATGAGGCCGAAAAATATTTCAGGATCCCCTTTAAGCTTTTCTTTACTTTCAAAAACAAACCCTAAAAGGTTTCCACATTCACAGTAACAAGGCTTCCACAAATATTCTGGAAACCATAAATTGTCTTCCCACTGGAATATTTTAATTATGTTACAAATATTACTCTTCTAAATATTTAAATACATTTTATGAAACACTAGTACTTAGAAAAAAATATGTTACAAAAAAGTAATTAATAACAACACAACATACCTCTCCTTCTGAAATACAAGTTGAATTACTTGATGTTACAATTGGGAATTTAAATAGAATGTCTTTAGACAATATCTGCACAAAAACGTCTTTTCTGTTGTACAGCGTGTCATTAAATGCATATAGAAACTCAGCTGACGGTTTAAATATAATACTGTCAGATGTAGAAACTTCTTTACCACAGTGACGGCATAAAATGTGTTCTATAAAAGTGATAATAATTTACTTATAGAGTTTTTCTATATATGGTATTTTATTTATCACAGTAGGCCTTACCAGTGGTATTTGAGAATTGGACAAGGTTTCCTAGTGAACTTGATAAGTTCACTACCAGAAGCAGCAGTAAAGAACAAATCATTACTTTTATTAGCCGCGTAACTAACAAGATACTGTATTTACAACTCCCAGAATGTAAATATTTACAAATTCATTTACCTTTATATAGATTTTTTTAATAATGTTAACTTTTTATAAATTATTTATAAAATGACAAAAACGAACAGACTATGAGACTACAAAGTATAAAGACAGAAGTTAATGGTGAATACTGAATAAAGAAACTTTAATCTTGATTGCTTTTGGATATCAGATATCAAAGATTATATGCTCTTAGACTAATTTCTTACGTATTTACAAATTCTTCAGTATTTACAAAGAAAAATTAGCTTAAATTAATTATATTCATTTATTGTAATTTTCCTTATATAAAAAAAATAATGTAAATAATTTTTAGGATCTGATGCAAAAACTAAACCTTTCCTTTTTTATTTTCAGCACCATAGCTCGCGCGCATTTGCTTGTATCTGTCAAAGTTGTTTATTGTAAAGGTTAAAAAATAAAAATGCCTTATATAAAAAAGAAATTAAATAGTTACATTATTTTATAACTTGAACACTTTTTGTGAAAAAATTGTATCTAAATAAATTTTTTGACCAACTGGATCTTTGTTAGAAGCTGTCAAAAAGTACGCGAATATTAGTTGTGTAGGATTTTTGCATAATGTTCTCACACAATGTATGAAGATGATAACATTACCTCTACTCCTAAGCGTTACGCACTAACAGAAGTTACAAATTCAACGAGTTACGTCTCACCGACGGCCAATTTAAAGTTGTTGACGAATGTTGCGTTGCAGTATCCCACGCCGCCGCCAAGCACGGTTCATCGAAAAGAAAAGTCTCTTCAGATATTATGTGACAAGTATGTTGTAATTTATATGTTTATGTGTCCAAAAAGTAAGAATATATCCTTATATTTCTATCAATTATTATAGATTCCTCAATTTGTATCCATTACACGGAAATGGTACGGTGGAAATACAACTGGACAGCACCGCAGCCCGGTTAGGGGTTGAAAAGAGAAGGATGTATGATATAATTAATATTTTGGAAGCCATGCAATGTGCGGTACACAAAAGAAAAAACACTTATTTGTGGCATGGTGGTGCAAGGCTGAATTCTTTTCTTAAAATGTTGAAAAGACAAGGAGAAAATTTGAAGTTATCAGAAGCTCTTAGAGGAAGAGCACCAAAACCACCTGCACCAAAGCATAAAACTTTGGGTGTTTTAGCCCAAAGATTTTTGATGCTTTTTTTAGTGGAACCTCCTGTGAGTATATTTACAAAAATTATATATATAATCCAAATTGACTTACCATTTTTGTCATGAACATGTATTTTTTATTACAGAATACACTAATAAATTTAGAAATGGCTGTGAGTGTACTTATAGACACATCAAACAAAAGTAAATCGGTGCTATCTCCTGAGCAGCAGGACCGTCAACACAAGTCCAAAGTCAGGAGGCTTTATGATATTGCTAACGTCTTTATTTCAATTGGTCTCATAGAAAAGGTTTCAGGTAATTTGATACTAAAGAAGCCAGTATTTAAGTATGTTGGTCCATTTAAGATGAAGGAAACAGAGAAGGTTGTTTGCACTCCATCACCCATCACACCGCTATCAATATTAGATACACACCAACAAATGACACCATGTCATGTATTTGCTGGGAAATCTAAGAGAAAACTAGAATTTGCAACACCTACCACTAGTACAGAGAAGCTCGGACTGACGACCCCTCCACACACACCATCTCACAAATGGGATGAAATCCTTCTTGTAGCTGACATGGAACTTAATAGAATTAACAGTGGTGTTGTGATTATTTAGATATTTGTCACATAAATTCTTAATTACCTACATATACATACAATTTAAATTTATAATTAAGTTCCACATTATTTAGAACTGAGACAATGGTAATGATTAGCCAGAAACATATAAAAAGAATTATGGGGTGTAATATGCTTGCCAGATGTAACTATTTATTGGCAAATGCTACTGATATATTATGCTTGTAAGCAGACTGACTGATTGGGAAAAGGCAAACATTTGTTAACACTTCGTCTTCCAGGGAATATTTAAAGTAAATATATTATGACTGTAGATGTATAATTTTTGCCCAATAATTTAATTCTATTGTTTGTTACTGAGACCAGAGGTTTATCTTTGTCAGTCATACTAGTGCAATGAACAAGATATTAGCATATTTATTTTAAGAAAATTTTATAAATGAATTATTTAAATGCTACTACTGTAAGACTAAAGATTATATGCCATATTTTCAAAAAGTAAGGTTTATTATAAAAACTGTACTACAAAATTAAATTTAATAATGTATAGGTTACTGAATTATAATTTATATTGAAAGATTTTAATGATAATTTTTTTTATATAAAATATTAATTAATTTGTGTGATGTAACGTAACTGAATGACTTTTTCAAAGGTTGTTTTGCACCCTGGGAGCTATTTGACTGAATATTATACAAGCAATGTCAATGTAATTTGTATAATTATGTATACTATTCCCAACTATTATTATATATCGTGATTTTATTCTTATATAGTAAACATTTATAGTTATGAAGTTTTGACAAAGAGTAATATTTGCATTTAAAGTCGTCTTTGATACATAGTTATTATGATGAATTTTATAACAAAGTTGCTTTTATTTTATATTTGTTCTAAGTTACATGTAATATTAAATAACTTCCTTTTAATTTTCTCTTTTATTATTGCCACATTTTGCTTCTAAAAATTTTGTCCAGTATTGGTATGAGGAAATTACTTTTTGAATTTTTATAACCAAAGGAATACTCATATAGAACATTTGTATGATTAAAATAAATGAAAACAGGTAATATTAATAACATTATTATTTAATATACAAGCATAAATATATTCATCTATAAGGAAAAAAGTAAAGAGGTGGGCTTAAAGGCTAAATTTAATAATTTATAATAAAGAAAAAAATTAAAGGCACTCCTTAAAACAAATAAATATTATAAAACCGTTCTACTAACATAATGATTGATTCCACATAAAAAAAATATCATCATGATTGCTTAGAACATGTTCTTTTTGTGCCAAAATTTTTATATAACATCTATACATATAACATTATTTATCATTTTTGTAAGAATAAACATGTTAGGATTAATTTGTTGTTAGCTAATTTTTATATTCTTCTGGATTAGTTTGGGTTGACAAAAAAACAATGGCAGTAAATGTCACACTTGCTCGATCATAGGAAACTGTTCGGGATCGTTTGACGCTGGCAGAGTTTCCGCATCAAAGAAGCTGGCGTGCAGAGCTACCACTGTCACTGTAGCTCCTGTATACAATATGCTTTGTATCAATATTCTTATTAATTATAAACAACAAAAATATATATATTAACTCGAAAATAGACTCTTGAAAACATAAAAATCAGTTTCAATTAAATTATGTTAAAGTTTATTTAGTAATTGAATATCTATGCCTACCTAGCACCCAGAATAAAACGGCCCCCGCCCCAGCCAACCAACACAGGGCCATGGATACAGCTGCAGCCACCACATACTGCTGGGTCTTACTTAGTTCCCAACCACCTATCTATGTACATAAAGTTATGTAGAAATAGTCACAGTATAAAAGTAAAGATAAGGAAAACATTACATCACAGAAGAAACAATTATATCAACTAGTGTCCAGAAAGGGAAAAGAAGTGTAACAAACAAAAGGTCATTATATAAAACTTACTCTTGGCTGAAAATAAAAATATTTCTTTTAAAATAATACTACTGTGTATATATTTTTTTTTTGAGATAAGATTAAGGCAATAAAAAAAAACAATATAGTTATTAAATATAACCTTCCAAGTGTTAGGTCCTGAAGTCAGTTTTCTGTATCCAAAGAAACTAGCCACCATAGCAATTAACAGTAGTGGAGAAGTAATTCTGGAAAAAATATTGCAATAACATAAAATCAAATGATTTCAATAAATTGAAGAACAATAGCCTAAAAGAATACTTACAAACAATATGCAAATAATCCCAAAAATACAATTAAGTAATTGGCTTGAAAGTATTCAACATTTTTATAGAATCTTCGTGATAATCGTGGCAGAGAAACAGGAGCCTAAAAATTTATACAATACAAAGAGTTACTGAAAATATTATTTTATAATAAAGTGAATACTTATATTAATAATAATAGTAACAATAATGAACCTTGAAATTGTCAGTGGCTACAAATTGAGACCATGGTCTCCGTGTAGATAGCACTCCCATCACCAAAGCAGGTCCAGCCCCACTACGAACTTGCTGCAGTATCCTAATTCATTTATTAATTTAGTGGATATTTTTTCAATAAAATTTCTATGACCATAACTAGATTTTTGCCAAATACTTGTTGCTCGTTATTACGATAAAGTATAAGCATGACGTACGCCAAATGATTTGCACTACTAGCAGTAACGTAAAGTACAATGATTGCTCCTGCTTAATTACTTAGTTGGAATTAAGCAACATATTATTTAAAACGCTTTATATCGTGAAAACAAAAGAAAATAGCAAAATAACGTGCTAAATAAAGCTCAAAAGCTCTAAATAAAAACACGTAGTATATTTCTTCCAGTAATAACTTACAACTCCATATCATTGACATACTTTTGAAAACCTTTCTTTTCCATTGTAGCATTAATTTCTCCAGGAATATCTATATTTACGTTTTCGGCCATCGTTATATGATTATAACTTTATATACACTTTGCTACAGTCGGACTCAATGAAACATAAACATTAAACACGAAATCATAAGTTGTCAATTGTGACAATAACATCAATGTCAATTACCATACATTGGTACCTATCTAATATTTTGCAAATTTATTTGAAATAAGCGAAGATCTCATCATTTTTGTTATATATGTTAGTAAATGAATTACAACAGTTTTGGATTCTGATAGTGAACCGATATAAATAGGTTTGATTACTTCTATTCATTTTTCTTCATGGTTAAGATTTCTTATGAGAAAAATCTTTTAGGAAATATCATTCCTATAATTACGTACAATATCTGTAATTCATAGTCATTTTTGTTTTAGTTTTATTTTGTATATGATTAATAATAAAAATAATCATTTAATGTACATGTAATAAAGCGGAAATGATTCTATTTTTGTCTATGAATGGATAAAAGGAAGCTCAATTTTTGCGTCATGTCATGGCTGGCATGAAGCTTGATCTTGATTACTTTTCTTACGAAAGAGAGCTTGGTTTCTTTGAAAGTAGTAGTTTCTGTCAGATATGTTTTTTGTTCACATGTCGGCATGCTTTACACTGTGAAGTTAATGAAATATAATATTTATTGTGACAAAGTGATGATGTTTTTCACTTAGAGGGGTAAAACATATTTGTCAAAACAAAATGAACGACGGGGATTGGATATGTAGCGATCCCAATTGTGGAAATATCAACTTTGCTCGGCGGCTAACTTGCTATCGTTGCAATAAAGAGAAACCTAATGGTGGGAAACCATCTACCAAAAAACTTGGGACTGAAATAGGGAAATCGGCTGCTGAAAAATCACGCGGTCTATTTAATGCCGACGACTGGCAGTGCAATAAGTGCGCGAATGTAAATTGGGCAAGGCGTCAGACTTGTAATGTTTGCAATGCGCCAAAGTTTGGAGAGGTCTTATATTTCTATAAATTTGCGCATTTTATTGAAGGGAATCACTTAAGTATTAATCCAAACAAAATATGAATATTTTAGGTGGAAGCTCGAACTGGATATGGTGGAGGTTACAACGAGCGCGGTGTCGTTGAGTACCGGAGACGAGAATCATCATCATCCGATGAATATGATGAGTTTGGGAGAAAGAAACGCAAACGGAAGGCAGATGATGACAAGGTATGCTATCCATTTTCATTCTTCCGTATTTTCGCTTAAGACGAGACTGTTTATGAAAATGGTGTATAAAAGACATGGTTAAATTATGCTAAAATATGGCAGTAAGGGATTTGAAGCTAAGAAGATATATGTTGTTACTGCTAAGTGAAATAAGTTTTGAAGCACATAATTACTAAAGTGGAGATAATTTTTCCCTGCCTTCAGGTTGGCATCACTGAAGGTCCTGAAAACAAAAAGTTGCCACCAACAATGCTGCAGAGGGATACAAAAATGGGGCCTTTTTTGCCTGTGCCAGCTCCAAATGTAATTTTGCAAAATAAAAGAGACCCTGAAAAAGTTAATGGCAGTCTTAGTGATGGTTCTGTGTGTGAACTACCAAAAGTAAATAAAATAGTGTTTAGGAGAAATCAAATGAATTACAAACAAGATCATTCTACACCTTATAGTAGAACAAACGGTGTTCAGCGCAAGCGTTTTACTAGTGTAGGTGATAAAGATCAAACGGGATCCTCGGGGTACGAAACTGGTTCTAAGAAGGGTAAGAACGACTCTCCAAATCCGAAAATGTACAACCCAGTGATGGAAAATAGAGTTTCCTCCACAAACAATGATGTCGTTTATAAATTTACTGGATCTACACCCGCTGAAGACTTTGAAGTTACTTACACAGTAGAAGAGAGAGTGAGGGCAGCTGCATTTGCAATAGTTTATAACAATTGCAAAATTAGTACTGACAAATTTGAATCCTTATATGACAAACCGGCTCCTGATTTCAAAACAATATTTGCTTGGAGGCAGAGACTTTTATCTACAGGATGCTTAGTTGATTCTCATTTGGATCTACAGAAAAAAGAGGTTGATAAGTCTCAAATAGCCAAATCTGTAAGGAAGAAACTGGTCCAAAAGTTACCTAATCCAGATGAAATTGCTATAATATCTGACTCTGATGACTGTTTACAAAACTCTGAGGTTAGTCAAGTAGTTTTTCCGCTTCGGCAAAAGAGTATTAGTGCTGAAACTTTACTGCTTCCCGGGGCTGACAATGAAATCCGACAAACTGCTGGTTCCATCAGTACTTTAGATGGAAGAGGATCTCAAGGAAGAAGTCATTCAGCATCTACTCATCATAGGACAAGGTCTAGTTCCTGTGATAGCCAAGAATCAAACTATCCCAACTCCGATATAGAAACCTCCAATAAGAATTTTCTGAAGAATAAATCTTTAAAATCTACTCGGCAGTCACTTCCAAACTCAGATTCAGAATCATTGTCGTACAATAGTGATGAGGTCGATTTTAGGTCAAGAGTTTTTGGTGATATGATAAAAGTGAGACGTAAACAAAAAAAACATTCCAGCCCCGCTTCCCAAGCTAAATATTTTCCTGATGAATCAAGCCCATTCCAAGGATATAGTACAGTCAAGTCAATGGAACAATCTCCATTGGCCACAGGAAATATTTACACTTCTAACTTACATAACATGGCCGTCAGTCAAAAGGTTCAGGATAACAGTGCTTTTGACACTGATGCATATTCTAGTGAGTATGTTCCTACTAGACTAGGAGCTACAGCTAAGAATAACTATCAAGACTTCAAAAACAATGTAAAGAAAAAAGGATTCTGGGCCAAAGGCAATAGTAGTAGTTTCCCAAAACAAAATTCAACTTCATGTACTAAAATCCCACAGAAACCACTTGAAAATAATTATTTCCCTGAAGAACCAGCTTTCGTTACAGCTCAGCCTCCAGTACTATTGAGTAAGGTTGAAGATTTTACTAAAGATGAATTTGAAAGCTGTGTTTCAGTGGATCAGTACTTGCCATTTGATAAGCCTCTAGAACCGTTAAATAATACGAAATCGCCTGAAAACACGTCTCGTATATTCGATCTAGTACAATCAAATGCTATGAATAAAAATAGAAGTATTATGGACATTTTTGATAGCAACGAGCAGAAGAATCAAGAGTGTTCTGATAGGGCTAATGAGTTGGAGGAGAAATTTGACTGTGCCCGGAAAATGTATGAGACAGAATGGGATATGGATGACGATGCTCTTTACAAGAACAGTGACTCCCTTGATATTCCACTACCTAGCAAACGGTCACCATCACCACAGAATGTCAATTTCAACAGAGTCAAGAGTCCCATCACGAATATGCTGTATGCCACCAGTCCAGATATTCCTAAAAATAACAAAACGTCTCAATTATTAAACGCAGACCTTATCAAAGAGAAACGTGACATGCTATTCGGGTTATTAAGAAATGAAAATCATGAGAAACCATGTAACATGTCGCAGCATGGTAATATAATCATAGAAGGTCAAAATCACATACGCGAGAATCTTCAAGCTCAAAATCATATCCCCAAAAAATCCCTTAATTTCAGTCATACACCAGTGCCCAAACCTTCGTCGTTAACTGACGAAATAAGGAGTATGTCGGGGGAACCTAAAAATAAAACGCCCAGTAAACCAACAACAACTATAAGCCCTTCCAAGAAGGTTCATATTTTAGAATCTATCACGATAAAAGCTAATAATAATTTAGATCTCACAAATATATCTGGGAAAGTAGAGCAGAAGCCTACAGAGAGTAACGTAAATATTACTCCCAGTATGTCTCCAAAATTACAAACACCACAAACTCAAGTTCCTACACAGACTGGTGAAGCGTCTGCCAGCCATATTGTGCAGAAACAAAGTAATGAAATAGATCTCTCTAATCTATTGTCCAGTATAAACACCAACACACTTCTTCTGGCTCTTCAGAATTTACAGCAACTATCTCAAACCGGCGCTGTTAAAGAAACCAGTTCTAGTCATGATAACGAAAATCAAACAAATCAAAAAGAAACCGTGGAAACAATAAACTTAACAAACGACGAAGATTGGGAAAAAGAATCGAATCAGGACGAGAGTATAGAAAGAGAATTAGAGAAGCTCGATGGTAACACAGGAGATACACCTTTCCTAAGTGACATCTTTGACCCGGGCCCAGTGGTGATGCCATCCAACGTTAATAAATTAAATATCAATCTAAAGAAAGATGATCCTAAAAAGTCACAAACTAATTTAAATGAAAACGCACCAGTGATAGGAAACTTTAAAAGCTTCGCTCTCCCTAAACCTATAATGTTAAATAGATTAAAACTGACAAGCAAACAGACGGAAAAGACTGCCAATAGAATTGATGGGAAAAGAGTTAAGAGACGAAAGAAGGTTTGTATACTTGAAATATAAATATGTATAAATATATATTTAAACTTAATTTGTTACACAAGACATCTGTTTTCTGTTAATACATTTATAATGACTGATTGAATTGTAAATAAGGATATTTTATATCACATCTTGGTTTTAAATCATCCATATGAAATGGAAACAGTTTTAACAATGATTCAAACATATTTGTAGATGTGTAAAATATATCAAAATATTTTTTTTCATATATGATACTGGTGGGATAGATATGTTTATAGATTTCATTGAATTACGGCAATGTTGTTCATTCCAGAAGCAGTCTTCATCTCAGGATGGCGGTGATGGGGCTGATGAAGAAGAGGAATCTGGAGACGAGGCAGATCTCTCTAAGTATGATCTTTGGGGAAGTGATGAGGAAAAAGGCACCTCGTCTAAACTGGGTTAGCCATATTGCTTTGAATACTAACAATTAATCCTTTATGAATCCATACAAATGAATAAAAATTTGAGTGTCTGTTTGTGGTATTAAAGTAATGCCTTTGTTATAAAAAACGTCAACAACACCAGAATTTTTGTTTGTCAGTTTTTCTTTTTCTGGCTGGACCCTTTTCAGTGGCTACTTGTATTATAGAAATTATGTAGTGTATTTTTTATTAATTGATAAAAATCATACCATTTAATTTCTATGCCATTCCGCCTATCTATTAGAATAAACGCTAATACCTAATTTAAAATACATTTAAACGTTCTAGATAATGAAAATCAAAAAGAAGATACAAATTCTAAAGAGGACAACTTGAATGCATTAGAGAAAAATGGAAAAGCAGAGACGAAGAGTAAAAAAAGGTAAATAATATAATGAGCATTAATTATTTGTGATAAGAGAAAATGAAATAAAAATGTTTAATCATTCCAGATCCAGAAGTTCATCATCATCATCCAGCTCTTCATCAAGTTCTAGTTCTAGTCACAGTTCTTCACAAGCACCTAAAAATAGGTATGTCTTCTTCTGCTTCTACCTGGCAATTTCCCAGCTTTAGCCAAGGTCTGCCTTACATGGTGTGATAGTTTTGGCTAATTTGTTTTTACGACCGGCCGCCTGCCTGACATCAACCCCCTTTAGGAATACATTAATCAGTGATGTCTAAATACTCTTAGAAGGTACATATGACTCGGAAAAAGTCACATTGGTACTTGCCAGGGCCAGGATCGAACCTGCGCCCTCGTTCATGAGAGACGGGCCTTTTAACCACTAGGCCACCACTGACTGTTCTCTATAATGATCTATCGTCATATACAAACATATGTATGTGTTTCTAATTTATTCTGTAACTAGCATAAATAGTGCATACATAATTAACCGTAGAATAACATACCATCTGGATAATGAATTCAAATGTAGTGTTAAATATTATTCATACTAGACTTAATTAAAAAATAATAAGAATTTAACTGTATAATATACATAAGTATGGTCTATATAGAGTTAGTTTTGAGTGTGAATAATCTAATACGACATTTTGACCAACTATTAAAATATTAAAAGGCGAGATTGATGCCATCGTATTATTTACTTCGGTTGTCGATAGGCCAGGTTACAGTGTTCATAAGTTCTGAACGGTCAAAGTTAGTACTTAGTATAAACTATAGATCTATATGGTGTGATTTATATAATTTCAGATTCGACGATTTCAATCTGAACAGCGAGCGCGAGTCTCAGACTGGTTCACCTCGCGGTCGGAAGTCTAGGACGAGGTCAAGGTCACCGCGAGTGAGACGACGGTCAAGGGACGCTCGGTCAGTGGGAGACAGGTGAGAGGGTAGTTAACCCATTAACCGCCAAAATTAAAACAGCAGTAGTACTTTTACAAAACATTTATTTTCATGTTGCCTATGAGTCAAATAAACATAAAAAAACATAATATTTTGAAAAAGAAAATCAGGCTTTTAAGGAGAAGGGTGTACACAATTGAGTACAGCGGCTTATTATAGGTGAAATTTTTCAAAACGTTGGTTTTCAAAATATAATGTTTTTACACACTTTATGCATTGCCAACGAACTCTTGTTTGACAAACAACACATTGCAATCATTTTGTAACCTTTTCGGATAGTGTTCTACACTATTTTGAGCCAAACCTTGTAATGTTGAATGAACCCACCGCCACTTTCTTCTGAACAGCAATCTTATACAGTGCAATCGATTGGTATAATTCATCAACTCCCCCCATATTTTTATTATATGTTTGGCTATTTTGACATTAACCAACAAATCTTCCCTGGATACTTTATGATAACCAAAAAGTATCAATATACCTATAAACCTATTCAAATCAAAGGAGTCTAGTTGAAAAGTATGTCTGCTATTTTGATTAGCATAGTCAATTGCATTCGTAATTAACTTCTTCATCAAACATTTATTCAAATATCTGTACGGGACTAAGTTCTCCGAGTTGTTCTTTAACTGCCTCCTGTCTTTCTTGCATATCAGTTTCTTCTTCAGTCGTCGAAGATTATGTAAGGGAACATTTACGCCATACAGGCTGACATAGCTGCTTTCGCCTTTTCATTGCTTTTTCAGCCAATTGTTCCTCCTACTATCGTCACTTAAAATGTTGTCCTCGTTAGCTCTAAGAAACTCAATATTGCCAGGCACATCCCGCGGCAAAGATGCGGTAACCATGTCTTCTTCGAAACCTTCCTCTTCATCTGTAAGGATGCTGAGATCTGGCTGTATAACAGTCGTAATCCCCTTCACTGTCACTCTCATCCAAAACAGCATTGACTCTGATCCTTTGTAACAGTTAGAAACGCTAAAATATTTCGAACTCATGGTAAAGAAATACTAGAACAATAAGCGCAATCGTTATATAGATTCGGCCGCTGTACACAATCAAGTACAGTTGTATTTCAAGTAAGATTTCTTTGTAAATACTTGTTGTAAGATACTCTTTTATTATTGATTTTACGAATAAGGATGTTGACTACAAGAAACATAAATATATCTGAAATTTAGGTCATGTATTATAAAAAAAAATAATGTATCAGCGAACTTACCTCGATAAACGATTACATCGCGAAGTTCATAACCTTACTGTGACAGATTTTATGAATATACCCACATAAATTGTAATTTTTTTGATGCTCAGACTATCATTTTTAATTATGAGACGAAAAAAACAAATATAGGTTAGTAAAGTGATTACTTACCTTCAATTAATTAGGTGTACACAATTGCGTACAGAGGCGCCAAATGGGTTAATGAGATTCAACTACATATGTACTCTGAAAACGGTAGTGAAGTGATAATAGCTAAATGATATAAGTGATAATAAGCATAGTGAGAAATTTTTTGTTGTTGTTATATTCACAGGTGCTAAACACTATATTGCATATATTTATGTTTCTAACAAATTATAATACAAAATATGTAATGAAAAATGTGTTATCAATATACAGGAATTAATTTGTACATGTAACTTTTAGAATAGGTGTACAAGTTTACGCGAATTTTTATTGTAGGTAATCAATAAATTTATTATTTCCACTGCAATTTTCGATAATTTGTTTTTATTCAATATCATTTATTTTATTTGTCAGATACACTAATATAAGTAGTTAGTAAAACAAGAGAACATAATGTAACATGAACAATCCGTTGCAGAAGTTACGACAAAGAAAAATCTAGAGAAAGAGATCGTCGGGAACGATCGCGCGGGTCCCGCGAGAGAAAGGAGCGACGCTACAGCAGAGAAGGAACAACGCATTACGGCGCTAGAGGGCGACACCGTTAACACGATAATGACATACTTCACTTCACCACGTGTGTACTTCACTTCAGTGACAATCTCGTTCAATATAAAGTGAAGTTTATCGTAGTATTAATGAAGAAAGAATTGACGACCATATACTTAATATACGCATTTCATTTTCGAATCCAATTCCGTTGCAATATTTATAGGACTGTTATTCTAGATTAATTGTCTATGCCTGTAAGCAGCCAAATGTTTATATTGTCTATGGACACAATAGAAAATAACTATATATCAGTTTGAAGCAGTTTAATTAGTTGTTACTATTTACTAGTATGAATGAACTTAAATGTTTTGTACATTTGCATATTATATTGCAGTTACAAGTAATATTTCATCACTGGGAGGTAAACAAAATCATAGTTGGACGCATTTGTGATTTCATTTTGTAAATATTAGATAGCGTTTAGTTAAAATAGCTCTAAATAGTAATATAAGTTAATATATAATACGGTTCATTTTCCTTTGTCACGTAATATGGAAAAGACGATTGTTTTTTAGTGACATGTTCTCATGTATACAGCGGTAATTGATTTACCAATAAAATCGAATTATAATAACTGGAATTTTATTTTTATCACATAATAAAATTATGAAATACAGAAATAAAATTCAATATCAGGAAGAAAACTGTCATTTTGCCGGTGGACCTGTAAAAAAAGATGGCGTAAGATAACTAAATAGTACAGAATAATGTATAGTTTCTTCATAATATATCTAACCTCCTTCCAAGCAACGGCACTCCGGCTGTAAGAATAAAACAAATGTCAAAAATAAAGTATTAAAAAAGTAAATCTAAATATTATTTGATTTTTTACCGCTGCCAAAAGAACCGGTTTTGTCGGAGTCTTCGGAGGATCAGTCTTCTTTGGTTGTTTCGGAGTGCAAGTAGTTTCGACAGCGCCACCTACATTTGATAAATATTTTAATAAAAGTTTATTTTTAATATTATAATATTAATATTATTATTACTGACCTGGGCCAACATTGTCTGCTTCGTTTTGGACGACCTTGTACAACTGAAAAAAATAACACATTTCGTTTAGAATTAATTAAAATTCTACTTGTAAGTTAAAAGCAAAAAGGAATAAAAATGTTACCAATAAAGTATTATTATTATACAAGCATTGGGGTAATTCTTTACCCTTGTTTATTGAACTACAGAGTAATTTATCATCTAGTGTAGCAATAAATTTTTATTTTTATTACATAAACATTGGGGTGACTCGTTGCCCTTCTTTATCGAATACTGGTACCGGTATTGGGGTAATTTGTCATAATTAAATAAACATTGGGTGAGTATTACCCTTCCATCGTCGCCCGCCGCTAGTCCCGAAGACAACGGCACTACGTCCGGACCCCATTGCTTTATAAAATGACCAGCTCGTGCCACGCGCTGAGCGGCTGTCGTCATAGTGTGAGACCCGCCGCAGTAACGATTACAGATATGCTTGCCCGTATCCGATCTTAATGAGATATTTGGAATGTTTAATAATCAATTTATCACATTATTAATAATTATTTTAACGTAGGTTATTAAATGTGAAACGCGGAATTGCCATTTTGTTGTTAACCTAATTCGAAAACCGTTAGGAGGACAATCGATATATATATAAGTGTACAATTTATGGGACATATTTAAAAGTGTCAGTAAGATTTCAGGCGTTACCCAACAAAATATTAAGTTGAGCGGAATGTTCTAGAATCTAGATTAATTAGTCAAAATATCTTAACGCTACGCCATTATAATGCCTACACTGTGCTAATAATACATGTGTCTAAATGTTTGAGATTACGCCATATACATATAAAGCTTGATAGATTTAATAGCGTTCGTCTTTGGCTACAAATTTCGCGTTCCAGTTAATGCAAAAGTGAATATATGTATAGCGAAGGTATGTGTTCCCAACATTACCTCGCTTTCTGCGGCTGTTTCTGTTGATTCATTTGTTTGTCGATAGTCTCCCAGTCGTGTAAGTTTCGTTGTGGTAAGTTTGTCGCCTGAGTTTTGCGTATCGCGTCTAGTACATTAAATCATAATATTAATATTTTATGCAAGAATGATTACTTTGATCACATAACATTAGACAATGGCAATCTTTAACTGATTATTGAATAATGTTGATATGTTTGCTGACAGTAACACCAAAGCAATATGACTTTATTACAGGTATGTAATAGGGATTTTGTTAAACATAGAATTAAATATTGCAAATATAAAACAAAACTGCATACTAAAGATGCAACAAAGATCCATATTTAAACTTACCGAGCTCATAACTGAGGTACGGTTTCATAGACATGTGTCCCGGCATCGGACGGCTTATAGGAATCATATTCGGCGGTTCCATCGGCATAACGGCGTTTGCATCACACGAGATACAATTCACCTCCCTTGTAATAAAATGTATTAAATATTTTATATTTTATTATAGTTAAATTTTAAATTCAATGTTTATCGTAAAAACTTTTGTTAATAAGTTTTACTCTAGACTAGTTTTTATTTCGCGTATCATACGATTCTACCCCATGTTTTTTAAATGAAAAACTTGACCCTCTTGATGTTTATGTAAAAGATAAAACTGATGTTTAATGTACTATAATACTTATCTGGCCTAGTTATACCGACCTATTATTCGTACAGAGGAATTTCTCATATTATTTTAGTGATATTTTATAATTTAAAGATTGTCATGTTACGAAATTTGCTAGTAAAATCAATTAAATTATATTTATGGACGTGTAAGTTCGTTTCTTGTGATTTACACTCTTGGTGAATAAGATATACTTCATTAAATGGATTTCTATCATCATCAACAACACCACTAACTTAATATTAAAACCACAAGAATTATCTATGTACTACATACACTCACGAAAGTTCGCGAATAATTAAAAATATTCGTTATTTGTTCAGGTCTGAAACAACTTGATAATTTTTTTAAGTTGCCTTTTTATTCCAACGAAAAGTAATGTTGTTATGAGTAAGGTATTGTTAAAATGTATTTGGTACTTTTTCAATCTAAAAAGAGTTTTTCTGGTGACAAAAACAGGTTTACGTAACTAAAAATAAAAATATTATTAAAAGCCATCTAAAGAGCAAAAATAATATGTGATAAGAAATATATTTATAATAGTTATTAGCAAGAATTTGCATCTCCAAATCGGCATTTCTGATGATATCTTATGAAATATACTTAATATTGCTGTGATAATATACTTAGAACAGATGTTACTGTTATACCTAAGTAAACGTCGTTTGGTACCGGCCGCTTCTACCTCTCTTCGAAGGGATGCCATCTGCTTCAGATTTTCTTGGAGTTGTTTAAGCTTCGTGTTGAAGAAGTCTTTCACCGGGGAGAGCTCCATCTTATCCAGTTTAGTTTCTATCTCTCTTTGAATGTCATCCAGGGCTTGTTGCCACAACGCTTCCTATTTCCAGTCAGTATAAATTGAATTATATAACAATGTCTAGCGAAAATCACATACGTAATACGTGTAAGTATTTTGATATGACAAATATAGTAAAGTTATATTCTTAATATGAAATGAGACATTGTTTATATGTGATAAATTCATGAATATTTATTTCTATTGAATGTATAACTACTCAACCGATTCCATGGAACTTTACAATAATGTGGATTTACTACATGTATATCAAAAGAGGTGTATAAATTGAAAGCCTTTAAAAAACGTGGTCATTTAGGATGCCATGGGTTAAACATAACAGTACAGTATTTTTAGTTTGAAAGATAATAAAATTATTTATTCAAACTAGTGATAAAGCTAATCCTCTATTACGATGTCACTGAATTCATTCCATTATTAACCTTCAGTTAAGTGATAAAATTCCAAATAACTGATAGATAATAAGTATAGTAAGGAAAAATATTATTTAATGGCTTGTAACAGACTACCTACAGTGGAACTTCGCCAATTGAGTATCATGTTGCATTTACTACAAATTAAATTGACAATATATTAAGACCTGTATGTTCAGTTTGCCGAGTGCGTGTTCAAGTCCTCGTGAGAGGTCATCACAGGCCAATTCAAACTGGTCGTGGGAGACCTTCCTCGCCAGCATCCTGAGATCAGCCTTATCAGCCATCGCCTCCACCATGTCCTCGCGATCCAGCTTGATAGTCTTCAGAAGTTCAATCTGTTCTAGAAGGGCCTAAGTGTGACAGAAGATTTTCAGTTAGAATATAGAAGGAGAGCAATTAATTATTTGTCTTACATACAATAATAGCCACGTACGCTGAAAATTACTAGTTGCTTGTTTTAAATTTAGATTGATAATACTGAAAAGTTCACCCAAAAATGATGTCTTACTAAATTGCGTAAAGGTAACTATATCATCTGAATATTTCTTAATGCGATGTGCGTTAGTTTCCCATGGGAGTGAACAGAGTTATTCAGCGTAATGGAATAATAATGACGCCATTAAACGATGGTTTTCCATCAGCTTAAGTTAACTGTTTGCGAATCATTTGCAACAATTTATTTTAACATACATGAGTACAAACATTGTAACAGAAATAAAATTTGTAGGTACTAAGTTCTTAGTGTCAACTCAAATATTGATAACAAAAATAGTTCCGTTTGTTTTTGAAATTTCTGTCGAAAATCTTCTATCAGCAATAAACTTATAATGATATACTTATAAAGTTGTAACAAATTTGCTTCAAATGATCGTATCTAACATTCATATGATAATTCCTGTCTTCTTTCTCAGCGGCGAGTTCGAGAGCTGTTTCGTGAACTTGTTTCAACTGTTCCTGCATCTCTTGGACTGTTTGGAAGAGTTTTAATAAACCTGCAATTTAAAGTTTGTATTACAAAATCGAAACCACTCGTAAAGAAAATCATATATAAGTAGATATATTTTATTCAAAAATCGTTTTAGAAATGGAAGTGAAAAAAAAGAAAACATTATTGTCATACAAATACTGTGTTAGCAATAAAAAGATACAGAAGTGTACATATTAGTAGTTACCTTAGAAATTTTATTAAAGACAAGTTAACGAACATAAACGTTTTGTATCTACTAGCCTTGCAAATCTTTAACAAGATCTGGTGACAATGCTTCTGATTGCACGCTTCGCAGTTGTCCCACTTCTTTGTGCAGGAAGTCCAATTGATCTTGGAACGAGTTGATCTGGATGATATCATGCAATAACAAGTCAAGAAATTACTTCATTATTATTATACATATATAATGAATCAGATTATTGTTTTTGGAGTTGACCTGATCTTGAAGAACTCCATCATTTTTTCCTATATCCTGACAGCAGATGTTAATGCGTTTTTCTAAATCATTAATTCTCTCCATCAGACTGCCAGTTATTTGTGAGAAAGACTGACGTGGGAAATCAGATTTCCTTCGTCCCGCTGAAGAAAAATAAAATTATAATTGCTTAACATAAAAGTATTTAAAAACCTTTAATAAAATACGACCAGTATTAATTATCTGGTGTTGTATAACGAGTACATGCAAAGCTAAGAAATATTGGATATATTATTTTTATTTTCAGACTTAGTTACGTGTATCCCTTATAACTAGACTAACATATTCTTTTATTCAAAATAATATATTTTTTTTTAAAGAAAATTCTGAATATTTTTTGATGAAGAAGCACTGTTTTTTTTATTAATATTCTTTTGTTTTATTCTACAGTTCTTGGTTTACCTATAGATGGTACTGATTTCGGAGCTGGTGGTGGGGGTGGTTCGGTCGTAGAGACCACGGTGGTCGGAGGAGGAGTAGGAGGTCGAGGAGCCTCTTCTGTACAAATAAATATTCGAACAATAATAAGCAACATTCTGGTTTCTTTAATACATCAATGTTTATAAATGTGTTATACTTTTACAGTGACGGCTAAGTTATTAAGCAAAAGGAAACTAATGATATCGTTACATCTATTTCATATAATCTGGATCGTTTTTTATATCCTTCAAAAACACTAAATGTTTTTATCATAAGAATTTTCTCTGTGATTCCTTTGTAATTTATATGTATATAAATGAATTAGAATTATAAAATTTTCATATATTCTCTATATTAATCAGTATTCAGTACATTAAGTAAGAATAATGTTTAATATTGATAAAAAGATTATATCTACCGCCCAGTCCCGCCTGCATGTCGGCCATTGCGCTGTATAGAGTGTTAGTGACGTTGTCAAGATCTGAACGGATTCTTTCTAAATAAGCCTGTAGGTGTTTTAAATCTTCCTTGGTCGCTAATGTATCAAAGGATGGCTGGCCCGCCATAGACGGAGCGGCTGTTGGTGGGGCAACGGATGATGGGGCAGCAGTTGGTGGAGCTATTGTGGACACCACTGGCACTGGTGCTATTGAAACCCTCGGGGCCATTGTTGACGGACTGGGGAATGAAGGGCAATTATTAGTATAATAATACAAACATACTTTTATAAGTAGAAAATGACTATAAAGTTCCTTAACACAAAAATATCAACTACTTAGCTGATTGAATTCATTGAATTAGTGATTGATTTTCGTTTTATTATGAGCTGAATTCTTACGCTACAGACGGCGAAGCGTCAAGTCGCTCCTGAAGAGCAGCGTTTTCTGATATCAGATCCTGAACGAGCGAGCTCAGTTTAGCGAGACCAGCCTCCGCTGCTTCCAAGCGCGAGGATACGTTGAGCGATGTCCACATGTCTGTGATGGCTTTGAGATTTGTTTGGGATCTGAAGTACAATTTATGAAATACCGTGATCATTTTGTTACTGTAATAGGTACATGGTTGTTGGCAGAAACAACAAAATTACCTTTCTCGGATTTCAAGGACCGATACTAGTACTCAAGGAAAAAAACTTCAAAGGTATGGTGATAAGTGTAAGTAAAAAAATGTATGGAGGAATAGTGGAAAAAAGAATTGCTAGTGGTGATTATCTTCTTAAAACTAGAAGTTAAAATTTACAAGAGAGGTGATTCTAAAACGATCTCCTTTTACTAAATAGCAATTTTAATTTATCAATAACTTTTGAAGTATCAAAATATTTCACCTAACTTCCTCCAATATATCCTCATTTTTAGGCATGCTTCCATACACACGATCCTTTAGGTCGTTCACAGTATTCTCAAGTATATTGAACTTGCTGGTAGTCACGAGGGAAAGCTTTTCAGCAGTAACATCCTGGGCGGCTGGCAAGGTAGGAGACGGACCTCGAGTGGGACTAGTTTGGGTCACAACTATAACAAAATTTTATAGAAATATCAATGAAAATAATGGATTTACGATATTTTCAACACACGACAAGTATATAGCTTACTAGTTTACTAGTACTCCCAAAGACTAGGACAAAATTTGCAAAAAAGGATATTACATCTGAGGGAGCACAACTTTACAACAAATTACCGTCTACTACAAGAAATGCAAGTTCAATTAACGAATTTAAATCTCAACTTTCACAACATATTTTGGAAAATAATTGATATACCAACGATGAAACACACTTATAATAATATCTTACTATCTTTAATTGAGTTCCAAATAATCTGGCTACTACTTTTGTATTTTCACTTTTGTATGTATGTTCTCATGTAAGTGACTATGTCTTTTTGAGGATAAATTCTTTAAACCTTTATACTTACTCGGCCTAGTTGCATCTGACTTTCTTATTCGCTCCACTGAAATTAATATTTTTTTATTAATCACTGGTTAACATGATATATTTTATTTATTGATACATTTACTCACCAACCAATATTGTATCCGTCACACTCGATGTACGGCCTGGAAATATAATATTTTAATAAGGTATTATATCGAAAAAAAAGCGGATAAAACTATAGCATGTTTTTCAATCAATCAATCAAAACACTTACTAAGATCTGTCTTCTCTTTAGGTACCTGAAATTTTTCAAATATTCCTTCAGAGTTTGAAGTTATGAAATAAAATCAGGTTAACATGTTGCTTAATAAAACCTTGTCATCTGCCTCCACAGGGTATTCGCTAATAGAAATGGTGTGAACATTCTCCCGTCCTACTGGCAGCAGGGCCACGCTGCCTCTTAACTCGACATTTTTACCCAACACTTTCAATTGCTGAGCCAAACAATGTAGAATGGTTTGCAGCATGCCGAAATCCACAACACCCACCTTTAATTAAACATATCTTTAAGTATGCTATGACAAAAAGCTACTTTTTAATTAATATAATGGAACAAACCTCTGGTGTTCCGATCGCCAGGTCTATCATGTCGCTGATGTTTAATAAAACAGCTGGATTCACTTCAGTTTCTTGAAAGAGAATTTTAGAGCTTTAATTAAAACAAATGGTAGACCGATAACTTATTGATTTAACCGATAAATTGATGAGCCCTAATAATTTGATGAACTACACAAACAAATTCGGTTACTGGACAGATCAGGGACATGCGTTGGTTTTTCAGCCTAGCTTCTGCATAGCTGGCCAACACTCATGAGACTTTGGCCAGCAGTTTACAGTTTACGGTGCTGTTATTATGGTTTTGGACTAATATGAGTTCTGCGAAGACACTCATCCAGATCCTTCTAGGCGATATATGGCTTTAAAATAAGTGAGCTGTTTTCCAATGGTCGGATGTGTTTGCAATTTGGAAAGGACTTGTGACTTGATGTGGAAGGTTTAATAAGTATTAGAATTCATATGCTACTATAGAATACCACCCTTGTAAAGATTTCTAAGCCGATATGACTTACTGAAACAGCGTTTTTTATATATTTATGTACAAGAACCATACACAAGCCCTCATCATTCACAGAATATCAGAAAGTTTATCATCTCAAATGATTTCAGAAGAGATAATAACTACTTGTTATCTATAGATCAATACTAATATGCCAATATGCCGATATCATGAAATACAAATTATTTACTCCCTTACTGTAACTGATTTTACATTAGAAAGAATACAAATCGGAATTTGATATTATTTTTAAGATGAAAAGGCATCAAACATTTTTACGTCAGCTCAGTCCTTAAACCGTTCAATTTATAATACTAATAAGATTTAGATTATTCACTGCGAACTCGAAACCGGCCGTTCTCACTTACCAGCCATTTTTCAGATTTAAGAATCACTTAGTAGTTTGCAAAAATATATTAAATACAAACTAAAATAAATCAAAAATAAGGGAACATTTTATAAAACATAGATAAACATTTCTTGATATTATAACGAAATTTGATTTAAAGACAATCTTTTTATTTATAAACAGACGATGTAAAAAGAGGTTGAATTAATAAAAAAAGTATCTCGCATTTTAGGCAAAGGCTGTAAGTACCCATCTTCAAATAAAGTCCATTAAGGAGTTTGCGTTGATAAAACATGTATGTATGTAGGTATAGAAACCAAACAGGATGTTTAAAAGCAGGTGGTCTTGAAATCTTCGGGTGGTCGAGACTTTAGTCTTGGCAAGTTTACAAACTTAGAGCCTTATTTTTAGTTTATGTACGGTACAACGTTTTACTGCGATTTACTATTCGAAATGGGAATGGATTTTGCATTAAAGTGGTTTTTATAAATAGTTTTATACATATAAGAAAACAACGAAGACAAAACTTTCAATAGATATATTTTGTAAGTCAAATAATATATTTTTATAGCAATATAAAATGAAAATTCTATGTGTGTGTAACCAAAGCTTTTATTTTCTAATAAAAAAAAAACAAAAACAATAATTCTTTAACATCAAAGTCTTCAAGATTTTTATATCGTTATATACACTCTACGTCATGAAGAGATTTATATTCTATCAGCAAGGATTTATTTTCTTAATGTCTAAGAAGATTATGATTCAGCCTATATAAAAAAAGGAAGGAGTTCATATTTTACATATATTTTTTAAAAACTTTTTAATATTTGCAAACGCTAATAAATAATTATTCGTATATTATTTCCAATGATGTCAGCTGTTTAGTAATAGGTTATTAATATGGACGTGACGCGTGCAGGGAATCACATAGCACCATGCAAATTACCATGAACTCATATAAATAGCGAAAATATATCTAAACTGTTATTAAAAGTAACAGATTAAAACACAGTTCCATAAATAATTTTCATTTTATCAAATATGTCACTTTCATTTTGACATTTGATTACTCACTATAAGCAAAACTATAATATATTGTTCAGAATATAAGGAGATATTTTCGTTTAATATATTATGAATTCAGTAAACCAGTAGCATATAAAAATTTTGTTGCACAGTTCTTTATAAAGTTACAATATTTTCAATTATTATTTGCTTAATATCTATCTGCTTAGAAGGAGTGTGCATATGTAACGAAAATATTGAATTAATCAGGTTTATTTAAAAAAATAGGTATTATAAAGGAAAATTTGTAATGAAATCTTTAAACTATCAGTGTTTACACCAAAGTGTACCGATAACATTACCACAAGTTTGTATTATTAAATGTTAAACTACAGTTTCTGTTTTCATTCTTAGCAATATATAGGTATTACCAACGTGGGTTTATCAGTAAAATTTAAAACGTTTCCTTTATAGTTCAACGACAAAAACTTGTATTAAAGGTACCGATCATATGAATTTAATAACGAATTTATTTACCAAAGATCTAAATGTAGAAATAAAACTTTTGGTCCTAATAAAATCATTTGTTATTTTGACTTTATTGTCATTTACGTTATTGAGAATCAAAGATTGTAGGTCAATTTATTTTATTACTTCTTTACACATTAAAAATATTTATAATATTGTGATAATATTCTTTTGTACAGTGTATTTATAGACGTTTTGGCAATAAAAATGACTATTGTAATTACCTTAGCCATTTAAAAACGGATAGTAAGTGCACACCTCAAGTTGTGTATTTGTATAAAAAAATATATGTTTATTACGTAACTGAAAATCCTTGTATGAAAAAAAACACAGTATGAAGTCTTATAATAATTGCAAAATTTCAATTAACTATGAGAGGCGGTTATAAAAAACGGTTCAAAACTTAAATGGTTCCATTGATTACATACACTTACTAATATATATAATTATTTTTGAGACTTTGGAATTACTATTAGATTACTTACTTTTTGGTAATATTTTTCCAATTTTATTTCCTTAGAAATGTGTTACCACTTAGATGATATAAATCTTTAATCTTTAAGCAGTACTAATCAAGGTTTTGTGAGTATAATCCGCTGTAATCTCTCTATAATTAATATCTGAAATTACATATTTAAGTTTTTTTGAGTTTACAGTTCTCATTAAGCTTAATTTTGGACAGAAATTTCATTCTTAAATACGCTTAAAGATTTATCGTATATCCTATGCACAATGCTTAAGAAACGTAATTAAACAACGACTTGAAGAAGAGTTGTCGATGACACTTTTTTGACTCAAAACCATCCCTAAAAGTATTTCTTTACTGAACTGATCGTAAACACAACACTTACACTGGTGACTCAAGACGTTTACTTCAAGTGAGTATAAAGTCTACAACAAAATCGCTGGAGCTACAAAACGAAATGACAAACATGAGTCATTAAGAGATCCCAGTACATAGTTACATATATAACAGTACAATTTATCTTTCAAGAATGAGCTAAAACTTTTGATATATTATCTACGTCATAGCAAAAGTAGCTTTCGGACAATAGCATTTATAATTTTATGTCTAATTCTCCGAATAAAGAAAAAGCAATAAGTTACCTGACACCATTTTTTAGGACTAACAATGTTATAAGAACCCTGGTTACGGAAATCAAGTATGAATTATTCGTTCAAATCTCCAGCATCACCTATACTCTTCAACCTCCACTTCATCGCAGTTAAAAAGAAGGGATCATGTCGAATTATGATATAGGCCCTTCAAACAATTTTTGATAGATGTAAAAGGGCAATTTCAACCCTGTACATATAATAATAGAGATAAAAACTAAAATATGTTTAAGATTATTATAAGTCCAAGAAGTATCATATAAAAAAAAATTGTTCTCACTTACGCCAGTGGTCATTTATAAAATAATTGCATCACAGTACGGTAGTGAAAATTGAATTATATATTTGATGATAAGTTATGAGGTGAATGAATGTGATCATTGAATCATTAAATAATAGTTTCGTCTAATGACGCTTGATATAAATGAAGATTGAAATTCATACATATAAAGTCATGGTGGAACTCAAACTATGATCGAATGCCCGACAGGCAATAGCTGTTAACCGCTATGAAATGATGCCGATGAAGGTAACTCATTATTACTGAATCCAGAGCATCTAATAACGTGAAAGTAGATGATAAATTAAAAAAAAAAAAAACAGCAATATATGTCAGATTTGTATGCATCAAAATACTTCTATAATTCGACTTTCTGTTAAATATTTTAGTGTTAATTTTTTTTATCTTTATATATTTCATTGAAGTCTACTTAAAAATGTTTAGTGTAAAGCTTGTTCAGCACTATTTTAAACCACAGCACACCTATGCGCTAAGTGCTTTGCTGTGTCTCGCTTCTTAAATCCTCTCAGGACTCAGAAAGAGACAACGGAGATGCAGCCTGTTTTAAATATATATATTAAAATATATAAATACCATTACTATTTTGGTTTTACTATAATTTAAAAGTAACGGCCATAATATTAGAAGAAAAATACAAGTGTTGATACTGGACTTATATTGAACTATTTTTTAAACCGAGTTTAAAACATTTATTAATATGAAATGTTTTTTTTTTTATTGTTAATTTATGTATACTGTAACATAAATATCGGATATTATATTAAATATGTTCTCTATTTTCTATCTTTTAATGTTCATATATATGAGTGTATATAAAACAAGAAATTATACATTCAAAAATATAAAAAATATTTCGTCATCTGTGAGTTGTAGAGGATGTTGGTATAATAACTTTTGCAAACACAACCTACGAGTGTATTTTCTATATTTGTGGGATAATCCCGTTGTATCAGAACAGCCAGAAGTTGCTTCAACAGCACAATGGGGTTAGTAAACACGCCGAGAAGTTTCTTTACTTTGTATACATAAATATTGACGTAGGATGTACACCCAGATAAACCGTAGCAGCGGCTAAATTGAATCAAATATGCATGGAAACTAGTCGTAATGTAGATTACAGGTGGGCTTGTAACAAATATGTTTATAACCTTCGTAAACATGAGTAGAAGAACGATAGGTTTCGTGGAGATCGTTCACACGGAGTTATTTACACCGAACGATAGATAATGTAC